TGATTTCAGGCACAGGATCACTTTCGGCTTCCATGGCAGATGGATTACTTTGCCTTTCACGTTCCGCTCTTATTTCAGCCTCAATGGATTCACGAATAGCTTGCTTGCAGGCCCGCTGGCAAATTTCTGTCAGATCAGCACCAGAAAAACCATTCGTAGCTTTGGCCAGATATTCAATATCAACGTCCTACGCAATGGTAACAGGTATTAGCGACACGCAACAAGCCAATAAAATCGCAGACACAGAAATATTCACCTTGGCGACAGGCGATCGCCGTAGATTCGCCTTGAATATGGCAATTCTAGACTTCTCGTCCGGCAGAGGAATGTATATTAACTGATCGAGACGACCCGGTCGGAGGATGGCGCCGTCAATAATATCAGGCCTGTTTGTAGCGCCAATTATAAAAACATTCTTCTTCGAAGACATTCCATCCATCTCGGTCAGCAGCTGATTAATTACCCGATCTGCAGCGCCACCAGCGTCACCAACGCTACCACCACGAGCCTACAACGGACAACATACCTACATGAACTAGTTAATCAGATTAAGTAACAATTGAAGCAATACTCACCTTGGCGATGGAGTCCAACTCATCAAAGAAAAGAACGCAGGGAGCCGCTTGCCTCGCCTTATCAAATATATCCCTTACGTTAGCTTCCGACTCACCGAACCACATTGTCAGAAGCTCGGGACCCTTGATACTGATGAAGTTCGCTTGGCATTCGTTAGCAATAGCTTTGGCTAATAAAGTTTTGCCGCATCCAGGAGGTCCATAAAAAAGGACACCCTTACTAGGGGTCATCCCAAATTTGAGGAATAAGTCAGGGTGTTCCACCGGGTATTGAACCATTTCTTGTAGCTCTCGCTTCACATTTTCCAAGCCACCAATATCTTCCCAGGTAACATTGGGAACTTCAACTGTAGTTTCCCGCAAAGCGGAGGGGTTGCTCTTCCCAAGAGCCCATCGGAAGTCCTCCATCGTTACAGCAAGAGAGTCCAAAACTTCCGCGTCGATAGTCTCATCTTCGAGATCAATCAAATCCATCTTATTACGAATTTGTTGGAGAGCGGCTTCTGAGCATAGCGACGCGAGATCAGCACCAACATGGCCATGAGCATCGTTAGCGATCTGTTCCAGGTCAACATCCTCAGCAAGTTTCATGTTCTTGGTATGGATACGGAGAACCTCCAAACGACCTGTGGCATCTGGAATGCCAATTTCAATCTCACGGTCAAAACGACCGAACCGACGCAAAGCCGGATCGACGCTATTTGGCCTGTTGGTGGCAGCCATCACAATGACGTGACTTCTTTGTTTCAAACCATCCATTAGAGTAAGCAACTGAGAAACGATTCTTCTCTCCACTTCACCATGAGTTTTTTCTCTTTTTGGAGCGATTGCGTCCAATTCATCGATAAATATGATGGCTGGAGAATTTTTCTCGGCCTCTTCAAAAGCTTTCCGCAAGTTCGATTCGGATTCACCCGCTAACTTGGACATGATCTCCGGGCCATTGATCAAAAAGAAAAAGCTTCCACTTTCGTTCGCAACTGCTCGAGCAATCAGAGTTTTGCCTGTTCCAGGAGGACCATAAAGAAGAATACCTCTTGGCGGCTTAACACCAATAGCTTTAAACAGCTGCGGATGACGCAATGGAAGCTCAACCATTTCCTTTATTTGCGCCAACTGCTTCTTACAGCCACCGATGTCATCGTAGCCAACTTCAGTCAACTTTTCATCCTCCTCCTATTACACTAATTACACAAGGGCAAATCGGCATACTTCACGTTTAACTGGACTACCCTCCGTGTGAATTACTGTATCCGGAGCCACAATACACGATGGTGATGGATCCGTCTCGATAACCTTGAACTCAACCGCACGAAGATTACCGCGAACAAGGAATGTGTCACCTTTAGTGACAGGACGATACGCCTCCAAAAAATACGGCTTTAAATACACCTCAAACAAATCACTGAACACGTCATATTAATGAGTTGCACAAACCCAGTGAGTCCAACAATTGTATCGTCGATGGGAAGAACGTGAATTCGCTGGCCGTACTTGATGTCTGGGAAAGCTTTTATGGAAACGATATCACCAAGACGAACTCTAAGATTGTTCCTGACACATCTATTCATGCAGACCCTTTCATCAGCAACACTGTCGTCAGATAAGGCGACGCAGACAGTCTGCTTTCTTCGCTTCCCAGTTACGCTTACAGTGTCCCCCCTGAAAAGCTCCAACTCATTCATTGTAGCCTAGATGAAAAATAGTTGTAAACCTATCAATACCGTTGAAAGCACAATGACGGAATTATCATCGTTAACCGCATCTTCAACAATCAAACGGTTCCTTTTTCTCTTAGCAAAAGCAGATGTCTGGGGATTTCTAAAACAAGACACAGTACACTAATGTATGCGATTCCTTCAAAAAGAAAGACACAAGAAATCCCAGCGAGAAAATTACCCTGACGAGGCAGACATTTTAGAAACAATCACGAGCGTTGACTAAGCCAGTAAATCAAAACGCAAATCACAACAACCACTAATCTCCTCATGGTTAAAACAAACTCCAGCATGACATATTACAAATTCATATTGCTATTCCACTATGAAATCCGCTTAAAAAGAGTAACTATTCCGCAAAATGTGATGCGGTCTGTGATCGTCGAACACAGTCTTGCCTTTTGTGGCATAAAAGTGCAAAATTGATTAAAACATTCTCTTGCTTTTAGTGCTCGAATTTCTTCGTTTTTGTTATGATGTCCATTTTAGGATATTAGTACGTTGTATGTCTGCACTGCATTCACTGATTACTTTTTAGTAGTGAAAATTTTTGGGTGAACTTAAGCACATAAATAAAATAGCTTGGTTTTTGAGTTTCAGCAGGTATCAATTAATTTGTAAGGCCTTTATAAGTTTTTACCACTCTGGAGTGATTATGGTAACAAAGATGTTAAAACATTTACCAATGATGGGCTTGCAATGTCTAGGCCTTAGCTATTTTCAGCAAGTCACAAGGTTCAGCATTTACTAAAACAAATATTCTAATTAAATATCTAATCTCTTCTGCTCTACTGCTTTGTAATCTTTTGTACTTTAACTCTAATCGCGGAGGCTTCGTCTTGCATAACTGTGAGGCCACATGCGCAGATTATCCGGGCCTCGAATTATGTTTGTGCCGTGCGAAATGGTCTTTGGGTGGTGCTAGTATCCTTCCTTGCCACTCGCTGCAGTCCACTACAACTCAGATGAATGCAGGGTCCACCATTGATGACATAGGGGAATGGGCTTGCTCGGAGGGAAGCTATCCTGATTTCGATGGCTGTACATAAAATCCCGGCTTTACTGTGGGGGGGCATCCGTAAACACTCATCACAGAGCGGTTTAAAATGACGTATACTCCGGGTAGCCAAAGTGTACTACGAGAAAACTTTATGATAAGGGATGCGACACAAGACTTGGGCACTTTGGGAAAGCCCATCATGAAGTTAACTGCAGTACGCATTTGACAATATTAATTAATTGCACAAGTAAAATCGTACCCACAATTTCGCTAGCTGAGTAGACTTAGATTAGTGGCTGTGAAGTAAGAGCTAAGTGACATGGCGTAATACCTGTCTCAGTCCTGCCCTTTATTTAATGACCGTTTTTATATCAATTCTCTTACGACTCCTGTTCGACATATAAACTGTTCTGCAAGAGTATCGCTTGACATTGTGCTATACAAAGCCAATGCACTATCTACTATAATATGCTACATGAACAAGACGTGTCCCCTGATACGGTGAGAGTGAATAACTTCGTCAGTGACGTTGGAATTGAATGCCTTTCAACAAGAAAAATGGTAAAAGAACTACTGTCCCCTAATCGCAAGCGTTTTTTAGCTAACCGACTGCTATTTTATGGGTGACGCGGGAGGTTGACCAAGGGTAGCTCCGGAGATGAAGCCAAAAGAGAGGTGGTAAGTAGTGGTTACCTGCCTGGTTATCAAGTCCCCGCAGATCCCACTCCTCACTCTCCTGATATTCAGCTGATTCTTCTGTACCTTATTAATATGTGTTCTATCATCCCTTTTTTGCTTACTCCAAATACGGTGGATATTCGAGGAGTTACACACCGTTCACCTAAACCCACCTCCATTGGTTATGACCTTTTATAAAATTTTGCGCATTTGGTGAAAACTGAATCTCTAGGTCTTATGAAGTTCTAATTCAAGAGAAGTAATTTGTGCCACGCTTAACACGGGACAAGCCTGTCTATGCACGAATACAAGGTAAGGAGTCCATGTTATGTGTTTAAATACAGTTCTTGTGGGCTTCTGCAGCGCTTCTACTTAAATTCGCTGGGGTTGCGTTCCAGCAACTTGATGTATAGGCCTATTTCTTGTTGCGTACTGCATAAATTGGTAACAACTAGGAGGGCATTTTCATGAAGCAAATAACTATTTCAGGGGGCCTTTTAACGAATCGCCTAATATGAGCCCCACATGCTTCTGTTACCCAGGTTAGGCGACACTAGCGTCACACTGCAGAAATCCTGAGGTTCTGTCAAAAAATCACGGCATTTAAAGCATAATTGCAGCATGGACACATAAGGGTCTCACTTTATCGTCTTCTAACTATAGACAAATGTGAGTACGTCTAAATTGTAGGAAACGGATTATTTCTAAGGAGAGGCATTTTTTTTCCGCTTGTGCAAATCTCATCACAAGCGCTATAGTAGAGAAACATAATTATGAATAGCGTACTGCTTCACAAGCGGGTTAATGAAGGCATTTCGAGTACTCTTCATCTAAAACAATGAATTACGAAATGTGCACCGCTTAATTGGTAAGAAGCAACTCCACATTAGCACAATCACTCCCATTTTTGAGCAGCGAATATAGCCTAGATGCGGCAACTACCAAATGTTGAACATATAACTTATAAAAAGTGGCTTAACGTGTAAAACATATGCTAAAGGTGTAACAATGCCACGAATCAATACACTGGGACAGAAAATCACGCCTTGTGGCACCGAAAATGCACTTGATAAAATAATCTTTTTCGAGCAGGAATTTAAAACCGCATTTAATATTTGTGATAAGTGATTGGTGCCTAACTTCCACACATTAGAACGTTGCGACGAAAGGTCCTGGCGTCGATTGGCGCGGTATTCGCTATTTGACTTCTGCCCGGGTATGGATAAGTCAAAAGCGAAGGAGGTTCCCGCTATTGTGCATGACAAGTCAAACGGTAAAACGTATGTGAGAGGGAGGTTTCTTGGAAAAGTACAGACTTGTTGTGTAACTGTTTTATTTTAAGGGAGGCTTCGCTCGCTGTTGGGAGTTGGGTGACCAAGACACCGGTGTAAAGTATGCGGGAAAAGTTGTTGCGAAATGCGATATCCTCAAGCCCTCCCAGCGTCAGAAGATGCAGCAAGAAATTACGATTCATGCTTCATTGAAGCACGAAAATATTGTCGGTTTTCACAGGTCTTTTGAGGATGAAGCCAACATATACATATTGCTCGAGCTGTGCCCAAGGCGGGTAGGTCTTTTGTTCTTTTCAACGTTGTAGACTCTCATGGAACTGCACAAGAGACGTCGACAAGTTACTGAGCCAGAAGCCCGGTACTTTATCAGGCAAATCGTCACCGGATGTCAATATCTGCACCTTAATAACATAATTCATCGCGATCTTAAACTGGCCAATCTGTTTTTAAATGATGACATGATTGTAAAGATTGGGGATTTTGGTTTGGCCTCTAGAATTACTAAAGAAGGTGAAATGAAGAAGACACTATGTGGGACGCCAAACTATATTGCTCCTGAGATTCTCTGCAAACATGGCCACAGCTTTGAGGTAGATTCGTGGTCCGTGGGTTGCATTTTGTAAGCTAGGTGTTCAATTTTATTGTTTTTAAGGTATACCCTTCTTGTGGGTCGTCCGCCTTTCGAAACGTCAAGTTTGCATGACACATATGAAAAAATAAAGAAGAACGATTATCTCGTTCCTGGTAACATCAGCATAGCAGCCACAAACTTGATTCGTGCCTTTCTTAACTCTGATCCACAAAAGCGGCCGAGCATGTTCAGTGTGATGGACCATAGTTTCTTTAAAGGATTTACTCCCACCGGTCTCCCTGTCAGTGCACTAACCACCTGTCCCCGATTCGACAATCTTGCTCGCAATCCCTCCGACAGACGACCACTCTCTGTTATTGATGCTAATCTAAATGATGTATCAACGGTCAGTACAGAGGCGAATAAAGATTACACTACAGACGATTGCTGGCTTACAGTTTTGTTTGAGAAGGTAAGAGGGTCCTTACATGAGGCTTCTTAAATCAGTTAGGAGAACTACTACGTGCACCCGTACTGCAAGCAACCTCCATAACCGCAATGGAAGAGAGCGAGGATCCAGCATGTGTTCCCATTTATTGGGTCTCTAAGTGGGTGGATTATTCGGACAAGTATGGCATTGGTTATCATCTGTGTGATTTCTCGAACGGTGTTCTTTTTAACGATGATACACGCTTAATCTTCACCGCGAACAAAGAGAACCTCCAATATATTGAAAGTGGTGGCAAAGAGCACTTGTATACCAAGAATGACTACCCCGCTACACTCAAAAAGAAAGTAACATTACTTACTTGCTTCACTAGTTACATGCAGGAAAATCTGCTTCATGTAAGTCAGTTTTTTCCCACCTTGGTCGTTAACTTCCTTAAACATAGTTTTGAAATTTTACCGAAATCCTGTGTTTGCGAGCTTAATGATGCGTGGAGGTTCTCCGTAAAGCTGCGCTCAACTCCTCATAATTAAGTTGTGCCTAGTTTGTGTGGAATTGGATTTATGTATTAGGTTCATATAATTGCCATTATTTTTACTGTTTCCGCTTTGTGCATCTCAGCATGATGTTTGATCAAGTGAACTGTTAAGGATAGGTATTATTGTGATGTATCACAATGAAGTTTCGCCTCTTTAATATCAGGTGCCGTTGTTTGTCGTTTATTAACCTTTCAAAAGGATGTTGCTTACGGGCGTTGCCGACCATACTAACTCGAGCATTCTGGTCGTTAATTTTTGTATCTAGTTTAGTTACGTACTTGAGCATTTTGGGAAGTCATACCACCCCGTCATTTCCAAACTAAAAAGACTCATGGCCAGTATTGGTTTTGGTGCTGTTTTTTCCGGTTTATATTTATTTCGGATTTATTTTGCGATGTTTATTTAAGGCTCGTCATTATTATTAGGATTATTAGCATTGCCATAATGGGGGCGCTTTTTATTTAATATATTGGTTTTGTGGTTTTTAACCGCTGATTTTCCCGTCTGCAAAGTCGAATTTAAAAGTGGTGCGTCCTGAAATTGCATATCCGTAATCTTCACAATGCTTTGTCCCTGATTCAGGCCGGAGAGAACATTGTGCGTCGGGAGTCAGATAGCATGGCCAGACTTCCCTTCCTCCGAAGCTGGTGTCGAACCCGCGTCGCAATCGTGCTTCATCTTAGCAATGGAACATTGCAAGTAAGGTTGCCTTAGTAAGCACCAGTCACGATTTCAGTTGACAGTAGAGTAATGCTAGAGCGTCTAAATATGGTCGGAAGTGTTGCCACTTAAGTGGTTGGTCGTCTGTGGAGTCGTATCTTGGTTAAATTATGGTCTTTATTTAGTCAACGAAGTGCAGATTCTAATTGGTGTTCACTGGCGATTGAATGTTCAAAGATAAGGATGATGCAAAATGTGACACTTTATTTACTGCGGGCTTCCGATGTATGCGATGGAATCGATTTTCCGTCGTATCTGTTTGCTTACTATTCGAATGTGTGTTAACATATTTTTTAGTCTCGGAGTCTTGGTGCTATTTTCACGCGTTGAGCTCTTAAAATGTTTGAAAAACTTTATTAAAGTTAAAACGGCTTCATTTTTCTACGAATTGTTCTTTAGCCGCAGATACTTTGAAGTTATATTGCTAATGAGTTAAGAGGAAGGGAGGCTGATTTGGATATATTTTTGGCTTTCAGCTCAATTTCTTCGACGATCACTCCAAAATCATCCTCTGCCCTTTGATGGAGGCTGTTACTTTTATTGACCCGAGTCGTAATTTCAAAACCTTTCGTTTCAATTTGCTCAGGAAATATGGCATTACTGATGACTTAATGAAGCGATTGAAGTACGCCTACGATATGATAGATCGCAAGCTCTTGCAACAGCAGTCTGAATCCCACGCGCGTTGCACTGGCGCAAAGAATAAAAAAGGTTCTCGAGAGACAGTTCCACATCCAGCCATTGCTCCAATGAAAGAAGAAGATCCTGTTAGTGCAGCCGTTGGCGCAGGGAAGCAAGACGCTCCAAAGGTTGATGTTCTGAAACACAAATAATTAGGCTTTTGGACTATTCGGAAAATTTATCACATGTTTGCCGTCTTCCAATCGAATCACTTCATTGATACTCTTAAATGGATTCAAAATCTCGTGATTCCTTATCTTCCTTGGTGAACGTTGTGTAAATTTAATTCCTTATAGTATAGTTTTAAAAAAGTTTATTGCAGGTCGCATCTTAAGTCTATTCGCATCTTTGGGTATATGACGCTCTCCGTTTATATCTTTAGGCTCTCATCCAGCACTGCACTTTATCGCTTCACTATTTTCATTAATAGGAGACTTGTGTTATCCAGAAACTGGTACACGAGACGATTACCAGTTCGTTTTTCGGGTTGTTATTCGTTTTTTTTTTCCAGAAAGGTGTGTCATGTCTGCATAGCGGGATAAACGACCTATGGGTTCACGCTTTCCTAGTTTGCACTATGTACCGCGGACGTGATCGTTCTTAACGCAAGCTCAGGATGTGATGTGCAGCCACAGGCTGCACAGGGCACGGTTTGTTCAGCTGATGATCCCCATGGCAGATTTGGTGTAGACAATCATTTAAGTCCTACAGCTCTCATCGCTAATCCCTGAAGAGTAGTCTTCTCGATTGCCAATGGCCGGACGGTAATACAAAACTTACTAGAAGGCAGTTCCTTAGTCCGCAAACTTTGGATGGGCTGCGTGGGTGGACAATTGCCTTTTCGTTTGTTAAGGTAGCTTATGAGGTTCATGTAGGGTGTAGATGCTGAGGGGAATCTCTATGCGTATCGTGGCCTGAGAAAGGGAGTTAAGGAGCACTCCAATTCAGTCTTGGTCCGATGGTGCGCTTGAGCTGATTCATTTCCCGAGATGATTTTCTGGGTCTTTGATTCCACAGGTGGCCGTCTGGCATGCGCTGTTTGTGAAGTCCTAGACTGAATTCATCGGTCTGACTGGCTGAAGATGCATCATTACATTTGTATTCTTGATGAGTGTTATGCCTTAGGAATCAGCTGTTATCAGGTTTTTTTATTTAAAGATATTTTAGGCTCGCCTTGTGGCTAGTGTACTCCCCAACAAATACAATTGTCATGAGAATAGCTCATTTGGAATGGGAAAGCCAATCTGGATCGCTCCACATCGACTTTGTTTAATCGGAGTTCTCTGTTGTGCTTCTCGTTACAATCCACCGATGGCTGTTTCAGAATGACTTGCAACGCCCTTGGGGGTATGCCTCTGCAATTACCCCATACTGTACTTTCCCCACCAGTCTTACTTACAGGAGTCAGTAGACAATGCGTCAAATCAGTAACATAGACCGACACTTCGCAGATGGTACAGGCCAAGGTGCTCAGATTTGGGAAATGAAGTGTGCATAATTCAAAGGAAATTGATATCCGTTCGGAATTAAGTCAGATAAAGTATTGAAACTGTTGACATCGAGAGTGATGTTTCGGTCAATCTAGTGGGTTGATTTTACTTGAATGTCATTTTTCCGGCTGATGCACACTAGTGTAGAGATGGGGGCTCGGATAAATTTTTTTGGGTGTTACCACCTATCATTTTCTGCCCAAAAGGTACGCTAAACTTTATGCAAATCTTGGTGGGACTGTGTCATGGCAGGTGATTTGTCTATTTGTAATTGATGCCGCTTCTGGTAGGTGGATTTTACAAAAAACCACAACTACCCTTGTAGAAGGTGGGAGAACGACGATGCTTTGCAAAGCGAACTGATCGCATGGTAACTCTTTAACCTACAATGTGGAGTCCAATGATTGGCGGTATAATTGTGCTACATTTTGATTTTTGTGACGGGTCACTTTAACTTGTTAACCTGTTTTGAGCTTTCAGGGCGACCCTAGTAACTGGAAAATGGCGCTTCCATTGGAACTTGCCATTACAAAATCCAAGAATAATTGCTTCTGCTCTCGGGCAATTCCACAGAGTGCCCTATCCCAAGTTCATTCTTCTCGGAAAATTTGCTCGTGTGACCTATTTGTGGTTTCAAAAAAAGAAGCCAAAATGATTGACTCTTTTCAGCAAAGTTTTGCTACCATGTTTGGACTGCATGGCCACGTGAGTATTCCAGTACTGTAGTTGCGTACCTTGGCGGCCACAACGTAATGCTTCAATGAGGGTTTTGGATGGGTGTCACCACCATCCAAGTTCGCAAACGTTGGCATCGCCGGCTTGCTGTGAACATGCACAGTCGAGCGCCGTGCACCTGTGCCAAAGCGGCAAACCGAATGGCAATCCGATTATTCGTGTGGTTGGAAATGTACTTAACAATGATTGTTTGCATTCGATACTGGGAGATCAGTACTGACAGATCCAGATGAGGAAAGGCGAACACCTGACAGGTCATTTACGTGAGTCAAGCAACTAATCACATTTCTGTTAGAGAATAAATGAGTTTGGCTATAATTATTTTGATCTAATGAAGTCGTAATGGACCGAACTAGGCACTCATTCAATTCAGGGCTGATGAGAAATTACTTTATCTTGTCACAACGAGTCGTTCCCTCTAAGCTATTAAAATTGAGTTTTGCACCGCTGTGATAGGATTTTAAAGAGATTTTTAGGGAGGAACGCATTTTACTAGTAATACAGCGAATAATACTCGACGCAGAGGAACAGGCGGAAATTTTCTACAAGTGCCACAACACATTAAATAATATTTGTAGCAGTGTAATGACACCAATACATACACCTTTCACATGCCCATAACAAAGTGAGAGTTGCCCAAACCACTACACGCACATGCCTCTTACCGTTTGGTTGATTGACCAGGAAATCTTGAGACCTCCCACACATTGCCATCATTGTCTAGACATTCCATCTTTACGCATTTCGAACAAATACATCAGACTGTTATGACTTAACAAAATCAATTGAATTATAATGCTCACTCATTTGGAAGCACCTAGGAACCGTTTATTTGAAATTCGTGATTTTCCAACTAAATATACAGGAGGACTTTCACGATATGTAACAATGTACGCGTGTATACGAATGAAAACATAGCAAGCACCAACTTGTGTGACGACCCACTATCCAATGACATCTTGCTTTGCTTACATTAAACAAAAGACACACCAGGCTTACACCTGTACACCATCGTCACATTTCACCAACAAGTTCAATGGGTAAAGTGCACCGCTTAGAATTTCTGTTTTACGTGCTCTTCTATTGCTCCTTTATGATCGGGATGCATTTATACTGCACAAGAGCTGGTATGGCAGTATACCAACTTTAAAACCGTTTCAGTTGTCACCGATGATCTTTCCCTCTCTTACGCCACCAGAAAATCTATCAGGGGATTGTATGTAAGTCTTCTACTGGACCAATACTCCTGACTTCATAGAACACGTTAGGAACAGATTATACTGAAATTGAAGGCTACTATGTAATGGTACCTTATTTAGCCACATTCTTCGTAGTCTGTCTACTGGTCAACATCCTCAATGCACCTTATGTGAGTTATCTCAGCACATGGTTGATGGTTTTAATCGTAGAAAGTCCAAATTACCGAATTCGTATCAATTATCATGATAGTCAGTATGTATGGACTGCCTCTCACAGTGGTTATCGTCGGAATTATGGTTGTCTTAGCGATAATCGGTCGAAGTCTGCGCGGAACCAAAATCCTGCCCCAACTTATTGGCCTCCTTACTCTCGGATTCATCACAAAGGCTATGGACTATGTACCATGGATAGTAAGTGAAAACAACTACGAGTGTCTGGAGTGCTGAGTAGTGGAATCTGTTTCGTTATTCTACATACAAATGTAAGTTTACTTTGAAGCATTCAGTTCGTCCGGAAAAGGGAATTGTAGATCCTTGCTATACGCCAGTTAAAAAAGGGAAATTTATAATATATTCGATAAATCATTTGAAGAGCAACTGCCACACCTGAATTGTGTGCCGCTTGCTTAAACGAACGTGTCCATAACATCAATTTTCGCACCTCCCAGTGGAACTACTTTGGCAATGGAAATGGGTCTTCCGCTAATTTGAAGCAGAAGATTCGCGCCAGAAAGCAAGGTCAACATTTATCAATTACGGCTCATAAAATCCGATTGCAAAATGCTATTTAATCTACTTTCCAAGACTAGGAAATATCATTAAGATCGCTGCTTCGATGGTACCAATTAATTAGAAGGCTACAATAACTTAAATTGAGGGTTACCTCTACCAGGGTAGTTTTTCTCATACCTAGTTTCGCATCTACCAGGAAACCTTTTTCGTTATTAACGGTATTTAAAGTCGAAATAATTTTAAGAAAGGCACCTTCAACATAATAAGGGACTAAGTAATTACAAAATTAAGGAGGAATTAAATGATCAAGTTCTACAGTTCCAAGTTCGTTTTGAGTGTTCAGTAGGCTTTGGTCTCAATGGGTATTCGTAGACGCATATGAATAGATACTTTTACGTTTTGCACATATGGGTGCAGTTTCTATGAATTTTGATTTAGATCTAATTCTAGTGTTTTGGAAGATACGTATGACAAAGACATACAAGTATCTTACGCCTTTCAGAGGTTACTTTTCTCTTAGCTTACTGCTGCAGCTTTTTGTGTGATGGTGTGATCCACCGTCTTTCCAAATGAGTATGTTTTTGCCTTCAGGACTTCAACATGCACCTTCATGCATCGTCCCTGGGCTACTCTGGCTTTTACGCCCAAGTAGTGCGTGCGATGCTGTTGTGTTGTGACTACGCGAGGCAGGCGAGGCCGGTGTCCTGGAGACGTCTCCTCTCCGAGTCTATCGGCTTTTCCGCTTCCACTGACGTCTTCATGCCCGCCTCCTTCGTCCTCTTCACTGACTGGCTACAGTGGCGCAACGGCCAGCAAGAGGTAGGACCTCAGGCAGACGCGCATTCGATTCGCCATTACTTAATAGCAATACATCATTCTTCCCCAAAATTCGATAACACGTGTTTTGAGGGAACTTCTGCAGCCTTGGAACCGGGCTAAACGCGGGTCTTAACGTGCATAAGCGTGAATTGCACCAGCTCATCTCAATCGACATTAATCGTGAGTCAAAATAAACGTATGCAGTGGGAGCAGCAACAGAGAGAGGATCGCGCCAATAGAATAACGCATTTCCACGCTTTACAGCTCACCACATCGATGGCATTTTGGCATGCTCTTACGCGTTACGGTGAGCCATTGCAGAGATAACCGTACAAACTTTTTGGGGCAAGTGATACTAATGCTTGCACACTCGAATGAAAACTTAGCTATCACGTAAATATAAATAGTCTAAATTTAAAAAAAAAAAAAACTTTTCTAGTAAATTCATGCAAACTAAATTTACCAAAAAATATCATGTACAGGGCCGACAATTTGAGTTAAATATGGGAAAATTAAACATAAACCGTTTGCTAGACGACGTTTTTGGAACCCACGCTAGCCATTGTGAAAGGCGACCCAATGGTCTACTTCACATAATGTGGAAATAGTCATTTCACTAGGCAAATGATGTTTCTTTTTCAAATCACGTAAAATTTTTAAAGGATTTGAAATGTATAGATAAATGGAGGGCTTTCTTGTTTTCCTTTGGTGAATGTATGGATTGTGGTCAGAATTAGTTTTTTTCTTAAAATGCTAAAACAGACTTCTTTGCAACGAGACAACATACTGTGGCGTCACGAATCTGCCATGAAGTTTCACCAAGATATGCTGGGATGGAGGAGAATTAATTATTTACAAGGGTTCGGAAGCCACTGAAATATCTCTTCGGGCACACCTAGCGTAGGTGCAAGCTGTGGAAACCAAAGAGCAGTTGAGCACCCAATAGATAAAATATTAAACCACTACATGGTCCTCGCTCATGCGCCTCCTTTCTCATTCTTTTACGTGGGCCATCGCAACGCAGTCGTTGCTTTATAAACCGTAAACGGGCAAGAAAAGAGCCCATTAAAATTTCATGCAGGCCCAGCGATTCCATAATGTCAGGGTCTTAACCCTTTCTGTTAGCTGAATTGCGGTGAGAGGAATTAGTTGCCTTTGTACTGCTCAAGCAGGATTGCATTTCTTATACCGATCGACATTAGTAGGTACATTACCTCAAAATCTGAGCCATTTAACAAAGGGCCAAATATAAGGTGGCTCCAAAGGGCGCATGCCATTCATTTATTCCTCCTTCTTACTTTGTTCCCACTTCGGTACTACCAAACAGTTTATTTGGAAGAGGTGCTATTACGTTACGTAATTTATATCTTCAAACAGTTACCGTTGATAGCTCCATAATTGACTCTTTCAAATCCTTCAAGTCTGATGCTGCTTCTTTTTTAGTAGCCTTTTTGAAAAACATAAATTTGGGGTAATTACTAAAAGCAGACGTCACTTTTAATGACTCTGTTTTAAGTCTGTAGATCCGGCCACCTACAGCAGGTGCTCCCCTTCCTTGACACAAAGGTTTCCTAATTAGGCGTAGAAATCAGGCTAGTTGTCTTATTTGATCGAGTTTGCTTGCTTCAGCAGCCAATGTAGTCTTTGACCCTTCTCCGGAGTTGTGATAAGCCATACCAGGACGGAGGCGATATTTATCTTTGATGTATAGAAGAAATGGGGCTCTTGGCATGACATTAGTCACATCACCAGACATGAGTACAACCTGCGTAGTTAAACATACACCAAAACACTTTGATTCCATAAATTGCTGATGATTTTTAAGTTTTATTCAAAAATTCACTCTAGGATTAGTGTTTTACTTGTAAGTCACCTAGACTGGGGACTATAATAAGTAAACAAATTCAATAGATGTAAAATAACTCCTAACTTTACTAGCATGTGGGAACTTCGCAGGTCCTAATGTACCCTTATAATGAGTAAATCAATTTTCGCTTATTCCGTGAATGTCTTGGTATGTCTCTCGACTCACATTGCTACTATTTATTAAATAATTTTAGTTTGAGTGGACCGGACCTTTCCAGATGGCTCCCAAACAACTTCTCGGTAAAGCCACAGTGGTGCGAACCCTTTCGTTGGGTCGGATTCTCCTTCGTGCTTTTCGAATTATCTTTTGGTTCTTGGTGCACAAATACATTATTTGCTCAGTCGACTTCTTGGATGTTCTTGGGGCACCTATTGAACGAATACTCAAAGGGCGGGCTGTGCCGATGGACTCGTCCCTTCTCTGTTTTGCCGCCTACGTGTTCACCGCACGTTTCAACGTCTTCTACGTCGTCTTCTACAACCTATCGCGGCTGTTGGGAGATCTGCAGCAGCTTCTCCTCTCACCCGCGTTCGCTCCAAACACCACTCAGCTTGTCAAAGGTGATCCTAAGGCAGAGAGAGCATGGAAGGAGGCCTCGTTAATTAGACGGTGGCTCAAGGTGAAGGTTAAAACAGAGTGCTTGATGCCAGAAGGCCCCTGTTGCATATTGGCCGCCTTTACGTCATCAGAAATTTGGAGGTATATCAATATCTCTTACGACATGATTCCTACGTCACACAAAATTAAGAAAGTGGCTGGATTAAGTGACCTCTAAAGCGTGTGTTTTCATACTTTTTCAATGTTTTAGTGTTTCGTTCTTATTTATACTGCCATTCAACTAACTCTTTTTTCTGCACTCAGATATTTTGACGTTGGCTTGTACAATGTTTTGAAGCAGTAAGTCAAGAAATCGTTTAAAAACATGTTACTCATAATGCGGAATGATTAGCTCTAGAAGTTTCTTCTTTTAATTCTAATTTTCATGCCATTGAGTAAATCCTGCCATGAACGCTACTTTATTTACCTCTCAGTAACCTCATTTATTGTCTATTAACCAACCATTGCCACCCGTTCAAAGTCGTATCCTATAAAAATCGGACACTGGTTGTAGGATAAGTCACTACGGGGTCTGGGCTTCCTTATCCATGATTACTAACTATCTCGAGCCACTGGAATTTCCTATAATTTAAGATTCGGTTCGTCCATTTAAAGCTACATCTACATTCCATGGATGGAGTTTACATCAACAGTGATTGGCAAAGTTTCGACGAAGGCTAGCACAAAACAGAGCCCTCTCGTTAGAAATTTTGTCACCTTATTCGGAGCTGCTTTCACCTATATACTTGTTCTCACTTTTCACAGTTGGAGTAAAGGAAACTGTGAGTCTTTCTCCATCTTCAATGGCTTAATTAACTCTGTGATGATCAACCTCGTCAATGTTTATGCTCATGGATCAAAAGAGTCCCTTTGAAGTATTCCCATGCATAGTTTGAGAGGCCTTTAAAGGCAAAATTATAAATTTCAGTTGAAAAACAAAACCATTATCATGCAACAGGAGCATAGAAAAATCTCTATTGCATTCATTTCATGGGACCGATTTCATGACCTTGAAGGAAATCGAACCATCCCATGAACTACAGACAATATTCCAGGACAACGGCCATTTGATCATGCTCACGCAGCAATGTCGTGCTAAGTATGTCAGTAACGGAAAAGCATCATGAGATGGCAGAACTTCTGCGTAATTTATAGGAAAACGCAATTTTAAGTTCTCCAAAATAGCAGCAAGATGTTTACTTTTAGGCATATGGGTTTCAATCAGTTTCACTCTCTGGGTACTTGAAAGATTCGTCAATCAGGCCAACAAAGCATATGGAATTTGTGACTCATTGGTGAGAATTTAGAAGGTTTTAAAGACGTTAAGATGCCACTGAATTTATCTGTTCCTACCTAAGCTATTATTTCACCAATCTAGTCGAGACGTCTGTCCCCGTCCTGGGAACAGAGAATTCGGTGCTCGGGATTCGCCCTAGTTCAGACATGTAATATGATGAGTTTCTTTTGCTTCTTAACCAACTTCGATTCCGGCTGGTTTCTCATGAGGACGATGCTTGCACAACCGCGTAAGTAATGCTTGTAAATTTATACTGGAACTCCCGATTATACGAATGTACTCAATGTACGCTTAGTAATTATATTTATCTCACTCTTGTTTAAACAAGTAGTAGAGACGTAAACCTAAACTGTACTGTTGAGTTTGTGGCTGAATTTAGAAGATCGTAAACTGCAGTTTGGCTGGCAACACGGGGTGAGTAACGAGGATGTGCAATTTAATGGTTTGTTGAGGTGACCGCTGGATATGGTTGGTCAGCCTTTACATGACACCCGCACCGGTTGCAGCGTCAGCACCTGCGACCAACATCCCGCCGACCTTAATATTCATAAATAAATAATTTACTCTAAGCACATACAATTATGGAAACCATGCTTCATAAACAACCCGGTAAATAAAGAACCTTAGCTTATTTCAGACCTTCTGTTTGATCAAGTCACTGTGTGGCTCAAAGTGATGGTACGCACCAGAAGACGTAGTTTTTTATTTCAGCTTGAAGTACAAGTAGAATAAGAGGTGAACTAATGATTGCCCTGCTGAATTGCTTGCTATATTGTTCAACTACCAAATATGTTACTTTGGGAGGTGCCGAGGTGTCTTGTATTTGTGGCAGAATATGCGTGGACACGAGTCGGTGAAAGTCGTGTTTAGGGGTAGTTGGTTTTGTAACCTCTCACCCCGTACTGCAGACCAACTCAAACTGTTGTTACAATCCGTAGAATACAATTTCAAAATATTCCCAAGTAGTTAGCGACCTTGTGAAAGTTTGCTGTAAACTCAATAATCCGCCTCAACTACCATAATTCCAATTTTTACTTCTCTTATGCATTTCATTTGGAAGATGATATTATTGTTACTTACCTTTTTCACGCATTTCCCATCCCAATGAAGCATTCAGTGAGGCTTCAAACCTTGAAGCCATATATGAGTGATGAAAATGAGGGCAATATTAACACGCAAACACTTAAAATTAATCAAGAATCGCGATTTAGCTAATATTATTCGACCTTTATGATCTTGAAGATGCTACAATTTATTGTGTCCGCCTCTCCCCCAAATTGCCTCTTTCAGGTGCGGCTCTCCTCTTCTCCTCCGTACTCTACTGTTCGTATCAAATGAAACTCGCTTTGATGACGTAGGCATTGATGAAAATACTCTTTTTTGAATGAAGATGGGCATGGAGTATGTATTTGACTGAAAATAATAAAAGCTGCTTTAAAAATTGAACATATGCATAGTTAGTAAAGCACTCCTGGTAGTTTTTAAAAATGTTTGAAGTTTATTTTTCTCACTACAAACATGCATTAATAAAGACATTATTTGTAGTTATTAGCTAGATACATTTTGATGATGAACCTCCAATCACGGATGAGAATACTACATAAGTCTTCATCGACAATGCACTTTGATTTGTGAAAAATTTGATACCAAGACCAGGCAAGCTAAACCAGCAGCCTCACCCGAATTCATAAAATTATAGCAAAATTCAGTTTAAAAAATACACAATTGGTATGACCACTCTATTCCCACGTTTAGAATAAAAAAAGCAGATGGGAACTTGGACTAATTGCATTTATGTTACAGACTGATGCTTCTCGATTTTTGACACTGATGAAATATTGAGCAATGGAGTATTAACGGACTCCCAGCTTCATTATTTAACTCGAATTCAAGTGTATTAAAGCTAGCTTTGTGGTGGATATTATGAGATACCTATCCCACTTGTAATGCAAATAATTAAACGTTGAGTACCTATTCCACAGGACGTTGGAACAATAAACTCGCTATGGTTAAGGTTCAGATCCTTCTCTTAATTTAAAATATGAAGTACTATTGCTACTGATTTGTCAACTCTGCACACATCTTCGAATTCCCAAATAACTACCCACTATTATGAAAATGTGCTTAAACTCAGTATTCATAAGCACTGTTGATTGAATAGTAAGATCCGGCCTCAACTTTCATTATGACAGCATGCATCCCAGGATCATACAAATGACCGACCACTTTCGTGGGCTAGAGGTCCTGAAGTGTCCGTATGTGCGAGGCCGAGGGACAAGAATGTTAACAAAGTGCACAAACGGAATCTCCGATTTCAGTGAGAATGAAGCCTCATCTGCCCTGTAGTCGTAATTTGTAAATGAAGTGACGCAGGGTGCATCCATGGAAGTTTGGATCAAGTAAAACGCCATGGGTAAAATACCACATGGGTTCCGTTTAGTTATGTGCCTTGTGGTTTAACAACATGTATTATACTAGGAAGACAACCAAATGGGGGAGCAAGAAGATTTAGTCGTATTTCTTTGGAATTAAACTGAGGCCAAATCCAGTGGCACTATTGTCATTTTCAAATATAACAGCATCGCATTAATAAAGGATGTTCACTGAAGCTGCAAGTCTTAAATAGTCGCCCCACCATTGGTTGCTTTAGAACCACATATTTGGAAACTGAGTAAGAAGGGGTTACCAAGAGATGAGCTTACGGCCTCGGGGGTAAAAAAAGGCAGAAGTACTGCCTAACTTGACATAAAGATGCGCTCCTATCTCCTCATCATGATGTCTAGCTAGAAATTTAGCAGATTTTACAAGTTCGATCAAGCTGTCTCACTGTGAAAGTCCGAACGGAGTGGCACTTTAGCGGCGCAACTACTAGCATTTGATACTATTGATGCATAAGCGTTGAAAATTCGATAGGTTTACAATAAACGATTATGCTCACTGACTACAAGAAAGACATCAAAGCTGTAGAAAAGACAAAGCTGGATCAAAATCTGAGGAAAGATATCTCCGTCTTGGTGCAAATTTTATCCCGGTATGTTGAATGGGAAAATACACGTTAATACTTCAAATTAAACATTTCTGAAACAAATTCGCACCATGTTTACTTTTGGGGTTTCCAAATACTACTGCTTTGGCCTGTCTAACTTTAAATACTGTAAAAACTATATTAAAATACGTCGATGTTTCATAAATAGGTCCCGGTATTCACACTTGTTTCCCTTCAGTCTACGTCAAAATTAATTGAAAGGCAAAACTTGAACTTGTGAATGTGTATTAGTGATACTTTAATCCACGTTTGTTTAAATATACTATATTGGTACATAATGAAATTAAAAATAGCCATATATGACGGTCAGGACCCCTTAAGTAGTCTACCCTTCATGAGGATTGGTCGAATCATCTTCAAATCTGCCTTACTTCTTTTAAAATTTTGAAAATACACATAGGTAGTTCAAAAAATAGACCATTGATAAATTGTTTTTCTGCATTCATAACACCGCTAAAATAAAAGATTTTGACTGCATGTCCCATGTCAGGGTGAGTTTACAGGTTGCTCATTGGTTTAGGTCCATACTTACTGTTTTCTAGGGTTCCGCTGAGTCACAGCATTTTACCAGATAGGAATACTATTCGTGGCAGTTGATTTGGTGCACACTGGTTTGATGAATATGCTCATCAAACCAATCCTTTTGCATATCCAATAGAACTCTTGTAACAATCTTAGTGAATGCTTCTTTTTCTAATAGCTGTTGTGTTTTTTTTAAAGAAAGTTATGCGGCGCTAGAACATCAATTATCTGTGATGTATGTGAAGCATCATTGACGCAATTTTTTGTTATCGTAGAGCCCTCATTATTAAACCTACAATTGCTTCGGAATTCCATATATTTTTCTCATGAACTCTAGTATGCCTATATTCGTGGCGCTTGATTTCAAAACTGATCAGATATTAATTAAAATGCAGTCTTTTATAATAATTTCATTTTCTTAGATGTGTGAGGACCAGTAAAGTTCAGCCCTATCATTGCCCTTACTATGAATATTCCTCTGGAGAGTCTCAAGGCGACCACCCTCACAAACATTGAAGTGTTCCTCAAAAAGGTAGTCCTCTTTCCCCACTTCTATTTAGCATACACAGCTTCCTGGAGAAAAGCATATGCTTATCGAGGCCACGTTGCTTCGAGCTATGGATCGCACAGTATCCATGCGGGTTCTCACCAGCCTCGGAGTAAAGAGGGTCTTCAAAATCCAGGAACTACCTCCAGAGGCTTCTCTTTCCAGGTACTTCCAGCGCTTCGCAACCTTCATACCGCCTTTTAGACTTGTCTACGTAATTACTCCCACCAAGCAGGCTGTTCAAACCATAATCAACCACACCGAAGTAGATCGCAAGGCTCAAATAAAGAGATGTAGATTGGTTGCATTTGTTCCTAAACAGGTAAGATTACTTGTTTCCACCTACTTTTGCTTTAACTCTAGACGGCAGCGGTCAAAACACTACTGGAGTCGCGAGGTGTCCTGGGGGATGACCTTCAAATTGGTGATCTCTCCTTCGGTTGGATCCCCATTGATGTTGATCTAATCTCACTGAACCTCCCCGAGGTCTACACCAATTACTTTCTCCACGGTGACACCTCATGGCCATATCACTTCGGACAGATGCTGGGCCATGTTTTGGAGACTGTCCTTCATGCTGACCAGGCACCCACGGACATCAGCGTACGCTTTTGCGTTGTTTATGCAATTAGAAGAATGCCCACTTTCTAATTCTTCGGCTCACTCGACAGGAACTCCTAGAAAGATCTTTGTTTTAACCTCCAAAATGACCGCCCAGAATCTACAGTTGGCCATCCTCTAATAGATATTGTTTACACAAATAGCGGCTAATTTTAGAAACTGCACTTTTCTGTAAATAGTCTCGACTCTTTACATACTATATGAGGTGGAAGATTCTTCCTGCGAATCAAAACTGACAGTTAAATGTTCGAGTGCTGTATCAGTGGTACTTTTATTCAACCATCTGATTGTTTATCAAACGAAGTGTATTCATCAATTCCGCCTCTGACGTTTGTAAAACGTGTGTATCTCTTAAGCTTAACTGATTTTCATTGATGATAAGCAGTTTTGCATTTTTTAGCTTCACGCTTTTGGCAGTGCGGCGCAGGTCTCTGCGGCTGGTCTCAGCTCTGCCATTTGTCAAATCAGAACCAGCAGGTTGGCCAATTCGGAGAGCATTGTTGACTCGGACGATCAGGACTCATTATCTGCCACATCATACCATCAACCATTGTTCATTCTCTTTAGTCGAAGTGAGCGAACAGTTGCTAAAAAATAGTTTCAATAAAGCACGGTGGTGCTTTAAATGTATCCTCGCTAAAATGGGTCTCCATCATTTCTTATGGATTGTTACAAAGTTGGATCAGTATTTGAGATCACTGCTGTTATTGAGGTTTTAAACGATTTGAGGCAATTTTTACGCGGGTGCGTCATTTTCAGTACCGGTTCTGTTCATTTGAGTCAACATACATCAGACAAAATTTACTGGTACGCGTAGTTTTTAAAATGGATTTGCAAAAAGGGGTAAACTTGAAGTTTATTCTTTTTATTTCCTAGAGAGGACGGGGTACATGTTACCAAAGAACAAATCGATCTTATTTGTTTGTTTTTTCGTTAATTTCTAGATTTGGATTATGTTACAACATTCATGGTTCCGACTACATTCGAGGCACTCATTCATGAGATTATCGGAATCGATAATGGTGAGCATTGCGCGTTGTCATAACTGTTCTCCTTTTTAGGTGTTGTCGAACTCCCAAATGTCCAAAAGGGGGACATGGTGCCCACCAAATTAAACTTAAGTAGTTCCAACATCAGCTGTTTCAAGGTATCACAATTCCCACTTAGTCATCACCTTTTGCTTACACGAAACGAGTAGCATCCCATTGTTATCCCTAGGATGTGAGAAATGCGCACATTTCTACCGTACATAAGTGGCTACAGGCACAGCGTTCCCAGCTGGAGGATTCACGTACAGGACTAGGATTTTCGCTGGCCGCGCTGGATCGGAGCTTGCCGAATCCTGGCGAAGGTCCCCGCGTACCCAGCGTCACCAGTCTCACTAACCTCTCCTCTCAACTGAAGCCCATTCTTTCTGTGCGCAAAGATCTCACTTCCCTTTTCATCTGTCTCGAGGAGGTAGGCATGATCTGTAAAGTGGCTTGAAGAGGGAACGCGGTGGTTTAATGTGACGGATGCCTTGTGTGCGGGCGGGCGACAGGTGATGCGGAAGATGGCGAACGAGGAGCGCGTGGAGGACCTGTTGGGGGCACAGATGGAGATCCTGCAATCGGGTAGCGGAGGCGCATTGGCAATGCCCGTGGCTCCACCGCCATCACCGTCGTCATCAACGGCATCGACAGGGTCGGCGTCGTCGTCCCAGCAGGAAGCGTATGAACCTATGCCCTCTGAGGCCTCTACAGGCACTTGCGCTGACGACCCCACTTGCCAGCCTGTCCGGCTCGCTCTTGAGTGGCTCTCCACCAGGTCTGCCTTTCGTTTGTGCGTGGAACAAAAGTAGCCCTCAAAACAGGCTCATGTAGTTTTTTGTGTGCTGCTATAAGTCATTGCATAAAGTCACAGTGGGAGCGTTTTCTGACTTTTTTTTCACTGCGTATTCAGTCCCTTCGTTATGCTCCTAAGTGATTCTCTTATGCTTCTCTTCCATCTAAATACACACCTTGATTGTCTGGTTACCTTTTGGATACTTATTTGACCCTCGGTATCAGTGAAATACCTTGTCCCCGAAATGCCCTGAGTTACACAGGGTGGAACAGGATCCTTTAGTCGATGTCAACTGTTGCTGATCACATAAATAGGGTCAAATCATTCTAACTAGTTGTTTAGTTTACAAAAGTGTCTTATCTCGTCTTTTGCTTTCAAAAATAGAACCTTATAAATAATCACTGCTTTCCCTTGGGATGGAACTAAGCCACTTGGCGAGGCTGACCATTGGTCATAATTGATTAATCCCTTTCATCCTTCTTTTTCGTAGCTGTTATTACTCCTCTGTCTGTATTGCAGTGGAGGGTGGAGGGCCAATTTTTGGCTGTTTTTCTTGTGTCCATGTGTGCCCTTCTAAACCCTGGAAGGAAGGCAAAGATGTGCTTTATTTATCACCAGCGGTCGTGCATGTTCCTTAGTTTTGTGCGAATCTGCTAATAAATCCCTGTCGCCTTATTAATGTGCGCTCAACATTGCGAACTGCGCCCTAGTCGCGTACCAAACAGCACTGATTTGAAACTACAGTAGTAGATAGCTCACCTACTGCGTCAGTGCTTTTCATCTTCAATGTTAGCTAAAATATCTGGTTTTGGGAGCTCTCAGACTGCCTCTCTGAAGGAGGGAGAGCTAGAAGGTGATCAGTTATCGCTACGAGCTATTTTTGTTAGCGATGACCAATGTCCACCTTAGTCATTCGACGCCCTCACTGCTCATCAAGCCCGACTGAGAAGCAGTCCCAACCAAGACCATCGATTAAGACAAGCAAAGGCGGCCAAGGGCGGTCACATCTGTGATCCCTTATCAATAGTTAACCACTATTTGGTCGTGCACCCAGCATATAAGCTGCCTTGCAAACGAGTTTAGGGTTACTGTTAATTCACTATCAGTGATCAATGAATCGTTATTCTACGCCCCTGCTTTCTGATTTCTTGGTGACTTGGCTCTGTTTGGGTCTGTGTCTAAGCTGTGACACAACTACGTTACAACATTTGTATTTGAAATAAGATCTCATGTGACCAATTGATCCCTTTGTTTATTGGCGGCGTAGAAAACTTCACGAGGTGATGAGACGGGCGCCTTAGCCGCAGTTAACTGTTATTGTTGTTGGCTTTATCGAAATCAGTTACCTCATCTTTCCTTTTTGAGGTTAGGATCAATAAGTCGTCTCATCTGCTTTGATATTCCTCTAATTTTTCAACTACAGACCCTTGATAAAAGCCATCTTCACAGATATACTTGAGAATTGCTGGGAGTCGACGTCCACCCTGTTAGTTTCTGCCCCAAAGCCTACTAATTTGAAGATGAGTTTTGTGTAACCCTTTTGACTTCAACATGAGCAAATTGCTATTTGTACATACGCCCCTAAAACGCGTAATACTGGAATGGACTTTGCAATCCAGCCATAATGTAGTAAAAAAGATTCATATTGTTTAAGAAACTGGTGTTCTGTCTCTTTCGGCATGAAGGATCCCATTCTCTATGCGGTAATTATCTGTAGTTATGATTCATGACTGCTGTTTTGGTCGCCAGATTCGGTGACCGCCTGGCAGAGGCGGTGCGACTGCTCTGCCTCCTCTCTATCACGCATGACGGTCTGGGTGAGGAACTGTACAATCGGGTGATCCGGCATATCCAGCATGCCGTAGGCTTCTCTATCTATCCCGTCCTGGTGGCGCTGCATCGTCTTCGCCTCCTGTACCCCCGACTCCCCCGTGGCGCACCACTGGCGTCAACGCAGTCCCATGTCGAGAAGGCGGAGGCGGTGCCGTCGTCTCGCTCCACTCTCCGACTTGTCCTCGCACCCACCAATGCGGACAAACTCGCCAGTGCTACTGAGCGCCTTATTAAACGCCGAAAATCTACCTACAAGTAAGTCTCTATCCATCCATCCACTCAGCCAATCTCCACTTTTTTATAGCCGTGAAAGCATCACTATTTTATTTCGAATGTGCCACGTTGCATTTGTCGCTTGACTATTTCTTCTTTGGACTCGAGTGTTCTGACTTACTTTTTATCCAAATTTGAGTTTTGTGCTAGCTTTTCTAAAAAATCATTTGTAGCTTGCTAAAAAGACCTTTTATAGCCCGAAAAGAGGAAGTTTTCTGTTTTTTCATTTTGCTGCTTCTGTACTCATGGGAATCTAAATCAATGACTAGTACTTCCATTTGGGTATTCGAATATCTTTATGAAGTTAAACCTGGGAAAGTAAAAGCATTGTAGGTAGCTCACACTTCTCAGATACTCAAAATGGTCATATTATTATTTGGGGCAAAGTGAGAAGGGATTGCCAAATTTCAATTTTGCGAACTGGGTTGCACTGCTGGGTTGAGAACTGTGCCGAAATCAGCATGTTTTACTATTCCATCAGCAGTTGACTATTCAGAAGGAATCAGTAAGGTGGAAATAGCAGGTGCAATCCAAATTGTTTAAATAAGCAACAGGTGAGAATAAAGACCCCCTCCATTTGCTACTTTGGCAGAAAATAAAACATATTAACATTTTGTATGAGGTAAGTTCTTTTCCATTTCACTTCTTTGTTCTCGGCCTGGGGAGCCCGCTTCGTTTAAGTTTGTAGCGAGATACACTTAAGCAAAACTTTTCATTAAACTTATTAACGCATTTTTATTGAAACCTAAAATCAGTCACAACTTCAGTTGAGCATCTCAATGAATGTAAGCAAATTTTTTCTGTAAAGAAGACAATAGCTAGCTTTGAGCGCTGAAAAGATGTCTCACCTTTTAGTCGTCTGCATCGTCAGCTACAGTTAAGCATGCGGTCGCAGGCGAGCCTCAGTGTGGACAAGCCTGCGGTCTCACCCTCCTACGTGTTCGGCGGCCAGCACGTGCCCGTGGTCGTGCGGTTGGCTGAGTCCCTCTGGGCCGAAGGTCTGGCCGGTGCTGCCAACACTGGACGACCCGTTCTCAACGGAAGCGAACTGCTCAGGAGGGACCAACTGTCACGTGCCCTCACTCTTTTACACGTTGATGAGAGAGGTTAGTACTGCTTGTTTTTTTGCGTTTGAATCGCCTTACTTGCCTAAATATTTTTTCCTTTTCACCAGTCGCGAAGACCCTGGGTCGTGTCTCACTAGTGCCGACGGTAACGGGGACGAGCGAGGGAGGTTGGAAAACTCTGTCACACGGACAGACGGTGGTGGTCGCCTTCGTGGGTGGCTGTACTTATGCAGAGGTGGCGGCTCTTCGCTTTGCCGCGGCACGTCGCTGCTGGCGTCTCCTCATTGCCACATCGCAGATCCTCTCCACTAAATCCCTCATTCACCAAGTTGGGCAGGCCGCCGCGCTATAGACCCCATCCCCATCTTCCGCACTTGCTCCCTCCCCCCACTCTTGGCTGTGAGCCTCTGCACTACTCCTCCTCCCTACTTTTGTCTTGGCTGTTTTTCTAACTATTTGCCTACCGGCTGTACATCATCTTTCAGTGGTATTGCTAGCTAACTAGGAAAGATCGCATGTTACACATTTATCTGGCTGATTTACCTTTAACGTTTGATAATAAATTGCACTTTCCTATCGCATGGGTGAATTAGAAATAAAGAGTTATTTCTTGCTTCAGACGGAATTTCTTTTCATCGCGTCGGCACTGTGGAAATTCATGTTTTTTCGGATTCGCGGTCAATAGCGTTCCCTTGGCATTGAATTTGATTTCTCTAGAGGATGGAATGGCCGATCAGGTTTCGTAAATAGGATTTTGATGTGGTAGGTAATTTTTTTTTCAATCACGATGATGGTTGTGTGCTACTTCACAATTGGCAAAAATGCTTGAACCGCTCATTGTTCTCCATGTCCGTAGCAGAAAGAATATTCACCTATAAAGAATTTGGTCGTTTAAATGGATGTGTTACAAGTGTTTATCACTTGAGGATAAATAGTAACAGTTTGTACCCAAATCGCATCAAAAGCCAGGCAGTTGCCTCAATCGGAGAGTTGCTCTCCATTATCGAGTAATCTGGAGACTATCCCAGCGGTCTGGCTGTTTCCGTGCCCATTGTAGACGAGGTAGAGATCAAGCAAATCTCCCGCGGCGTGGAAGTCACGTGATTTACGTTCAAGTCCGCGTGCAGACCAGCGCACCACCCATTGATCTGGAACCGGAACGTCGGCAGACGGCCACTAACATACTGCCTCCGTTTTAATCACTCGTGGTGCGTACAGATCATAAACTCGTGGAATAAAACTCGCTGAAGCCTTGTTTGCATCATGGGTCAGACATCGGCAAAACGTATACAAAATCACATCTCAGCCATGGAGGGAGCCGGTTACACTGTGGATGAGAAATTAGCCACAAAATTGCGGAATTCACTTACTAAGCTGAACATTATGAGTGACGATGATGGGCAACTTATGTGCATCTTGCCAGTTCCGAATGACATTCTAGATTCCGATCAGGGAATTAAAAAGGAGATACAACAGCAGTTATCTCTACCCAGGCCAAAATTCTTCCTTAACTGCTATAACGGATCTCATATGTAAGCTGGGATCACCATACATGCCAGGCAATATCAGGCTTGCAGGCATTATGATCTGTGTCAATAGTTAAAAAGCTTTCGCAAAATTTTGTGACATACACGGCATTTGTCTGAATACCTATGCTATGCATTTTATACCTGTTAAGACCCCATGAAATTTTTTGTCATGCTTGCAATGAATATGCCTGAATTCTGAACTACTTATTCGTACTCCTAAATGAGATGCGATTTGATGAATTTGAACCACTCACTGCTTGCATTGTAAGACACTACTTCTGCAAATCGCCGCTGAGTGAAGTGAGGCTGAATACTTTGCATTTTTTTAACAACTTTTAACTTATAATTCTAAGCTCTCAGTGATCATCAGTGGTTAAAAATTCGTTTAGCACCTTTTGTCAATTCTGTAGAAAATCACGAACAACTGATCATGAGCGCACCCTATTTTGTTTTCTGCCTAGAGTGTTGCCATTGCTTTTCCGCCTAGAATGGAATCGGATAATAGATAAGAGAGGCATTGGTCACTGTTGTTTCAGATGGACAGAGACGGTGATGCAGCTCAACTATCAAGTATTCAGGGAATGCGAACAAATGGTGAGCACCATTTTTGGGATTTTATTACAACAACCACATTGAGCCTAGCGTCCACAGACATTAGCATATATTCTCAGTTGATAACGGTCTCGTTTTGAAGTAAATGTTCAATGCGGTGTTTGGTCGGGGTTATTTGCTTCTAATGTTTTATTCGGGTGATCATTATGCTCATACAGTTAACCACATCATTAACAATTCCTTTATCATGAAGCATTTGTTATTAAATGGGAGGAGTATCTTCTCCCCATTCAAATAACTGTTTAATTAAATCCACTGAAATTAATGAAAGAATGAAAATGCGGCATTTACGCTAGTTTTAATGAAAATGTGGACATGTCTCGTAATTGCAGGCTAATCATATACCAAATTGCGGACTGTTCACCAACAAACTGGGTCTTCTGATGAGTCTCCGCAACTATGCCGATGACTGCAAGCGTAATTCACGAAAAGACGTTTCTGTAAACTTTATCCCGGAAACATACTGGATCGACGACGCCAAAGAGAAGGCTGAATTTATCAACAAATTAAGTGGTCAGTGTGAGATCGAGTACTTGATTGGGCTTTGCTTTTGGAGCACAAAAAATAAGGGCTTTAATTTTGCTACTAACAGACCATCAGATATGGCTAATGAAACCATGTGGTTTGAATCAGGGCAAGGGTATATGCCTGATTCGTTCACAACAGGATTTTGTGAGACTTGAAGAGGCCCGTTCTGAGGAGGTTCGACGCAATCCCCAAATGTGTAGGCCTCGAATCGTCCAAAAGTACGTACATTTTACAATCTACCAAAATTTCCATTCCAAACCAATAATGGTTATCATTGGACAAAATTTACAGAAGCGGGGTCTTGGGTACACGTGGTCTGCTTTAAAACATTCCATTGCCTTGAAGTTAAGCTAATGGTACCTAAAATGTTAATCAAAATTAGTCTTGTGCCATAGAAACCGATTCCATTATCACAGCAGACGCTTTAACGGAGGCTATAATCTGCGCCTACCAGGTTAACGAGTCAAAATTGGAAGAATTGGTCGAAATTAGCGCTTCTGTTATAGGTACCTCACCACTCCACTGCTGTTAAACAACAGGAAGTTTGACATTCGGTGTTACTTCATGCTCGCAAGCACGATGCCTTATTTGGTCCTCTTTACGCCGGGTTACATTCGTCTTTCCCTTCGCAAGTATGATCCCGCCGACACCAATCTCGTTACCCACCTTACAAATCAGGTGAGCAGCAGTGCTGACATCTTTTATTTCTTACAAAACGCATGGGTGATTTTAGAAAAAAAACTGATACTTACTTAAAATTTACTTCTATATTCATACATCAATTTCCACATATTTAGTAGTCAAATAGGATATAATTTTGGTGCCATCCAATTAGCTACTTTAAAATTCTTTAGTTCATACAAAAGAGGGATCCGAGCTACGATAGGTCAAAGGATGACTCCGTGTGGACATTCAGGAGGCTGAATGAGTATATCAACACTAACGTCGCTCCAAACAAACATCTACAGAAGAACTGGGTCACTAGGCACATGTTGGTAGGTTTGCATGGTATTTCTTTAAAAAAAGACAACAAATAAGGCATTAAAAATCTCACAATATGCTGAAGATTCTGTTCACTTAAGCATATCATGCTATGAATGGTATCAATAAATTGTAAGTCATTACTGGATTGAAAACAACTCAATCGAAGTGTTCTTGAAATTTTGCTGTATATAATACAAATCCTTTCAGCCAGAAATGCACAGAATAACAATGCATGTGTTCAACGCGGTTAAGGATAAATTGGCCTGCCGAATTGGATTCTTTGAAATCTACGGAATGGACTTCATGATCGACGACAACATGAAGGTGTGTTGTGCATCGAACATGGGAAGTGATTTTTGACTAAATATCCCCGGTGGTAATAACAACTATTCGGCCTTTCAGATTTGGCTAATTGAAATTAATTCCAATCCCGCAATGAACACCAATTGCGAAGTCCTGCGACAGGTCATTCCGCCCGTTGTCAACAGATTCATTCGTAAGTCTTGAATGACCTTCGGTAGAGGGAAATTCGGAAACAATCGTACGTATTTAGAGGGTGGGAGCATTTACCATACCCCGAGATTAACTAATTTCTGACTTTTGTTTACTTCAACCGCATCGATTCTCACGGAATTTGGCTTGTTAATGAATTTGCCATTAAGTGACTCAGGTATAAGAATTTGGAGTCTTGCTTTTGCTTTCATCGCATTTTCCCATTTATTTAATTAAATCAAAGAAATATGCGAATTACTTCGTAGGATGAAACCCACATCAACGATCTCGCGTCACTGTATCAACTAGGTTAATAATACCGCTTAAATGTCGTTCTATAGAGATAAGCATAGAGTGCTTTGAAAAGGCTCGTCGTTGGCAGCCGCTGCTGCCAATTTTGGGCATTCTTCCCCGAAATCCGTCCGAGCTTGGCGAAGAGCGTGACTCATACACCTGGAACGTCTCCCTGCGACCGCCTCCTAAGTACATTACGAACGGCGGTCTACCGGCCTCTTTCACCATCCTCTTTAACGAGAGTCTTACAGCTGCCAAGTCACGGCAGAGCCGATGCTACAGCACTCCACTGCGCCTTTGGGTGCCTCCCAAAATGTACCTGACTGCCCACCTGCCCAAACCTGGTCTGGTTATCCGGCGGTCGCCTTCGCCGCCCTCACACTCCTCCGCCTCCCTCCCGAGAATATCCGCAATACCACACAAATATTCAGCCTTGGCGACCATGACTTCGAAGCCGAGCCCTCCACGCACCGACTATCAGAAACCTCCTGCTTATAGTCCACGTGAAATGAGGTTTTTTCGCTCCCCCTCGCATAGGGTTACCAGTGGGTCGGAAAGCTCCCGCCACTCCACAGAAAGGGAATCAATCCCGACTCAAAACCTACAAGAGTCACCGCTAGGGCTGCAGAGAGTATCAGACTTAGGGGCAAATCAAAGCATTACTTCAGATAAGGCTGATGTGCCAAATGTGGTGGCGGTGGCGGAAGAACCTTTGGCTCAGGAGCAGGTCCACAAGCTCCCTGATCCACAGAAGGAACTGGGCAAACTAAGTGATGAATATCTGGTGGTCGCACCCGATGGTAACTTTGGTGCAAATGGGAAACATCAAATGGATCCAAAGCGACAGGAGGTAACGGGTACACAGAGTAGAGGCTCTGATGAATCAAACACCCTTCTGAGGCTGATTCAAGATGGTGCATTTAAATGGACAAAAAGAGGTACTGTAGGGAGAGATTCACCAGCTGGCGTGGAAATGCCAATTGAGGACGACGTGGTGACTTCGAATAACAGTTCTTCGGTGTCGACACACGCAACACCCAGAAGGCGGAAGTTAAAGAAGAACCGCAACGACAGCTGCTCAGTGAGAATTCCCCCACTGATGCCCGAATATGTGCTCATGCCGATCTCACCCGTTATAATGCCACCACTTCCACCCCTCGTATTGGGAGCGACGTTACCGACTGAAATGCCAAATGAAGAACCGGAAGAAAATGCGACAAACAACGGCAACGAACTCATCGATTTGTCCAATATGAGGTAGTAGTTTTGTCATTCAACGGACTTACAATGAGAAAAAAGGGTAAACTTTTGGAAGTAGGAGTTGTCAATTTTCATGTGAAAAAAAAAACTTAATGTTGGTATTTAAGACCAATTTACTTTCATGTGTGATTAAGTACTAATAATTACCTCTTTTTATTTTTAGGGCGGGAACCTGAAACATCATTCAAAATAATTTCGGTTTTAGTTTGTAAAGATGGTTTTCACTTTTTTCAGTAAAATTTATCGAACCAGCTCTTTCTTTTGGGCAGCTGTGCCGAAACATGTATTCATACATTATTTAGGATCACAATTTTTGGCAAAGAGCAGTCAAATAAAAATTAATGTTAAGTGGCATGGATGGTGGTTATGGAACATGCACTTAAATAATTTTGAGGCCAAATCGGGATTTATAGTGCTGTACTCTGCAAGTAGCGCCATAAGTTTATGTTTAGCTTTACTTCCGTTAATCAGTTCCATGCCTTAATCTATTACATTTTCTGGCCTATTTATCTTGAAATTCAAGAATCTATTTGGTGTTTCTTTGTACGTCTTAGTAGTGCAAAGTTTCGAATCCCTGTAGTCGGCCAATCAGCGCCTTGGCATCGCTTACGCTGCGGCAAGATGGCAATGGATCTTAAACGCTCTTTTCCAGCGATGTCAATGGTTCCGGTGCCAAATAAACGGACAAGAACGGAAGACGCCAGGGCGATTGTATCGAATCAAATTCTGAAGTCTGCACAGGGCCAAATTATTCCCGCTGGAATGCCTGGCAGTATGCGACGTACTTCAAGCATCTTGAGTCCAAATATGCTTCTCACTGGTCACGAGAGTGAAGTATTCTGTGTCAAGTTTGTCCCAACAGAAGGAAGTTACCTTGTCAGTGCTGGATTTGACCGTCAAATATTTGTTTGGGAAACATATGGGCAATGTGACAATGTAGCTGTCATGGCCGGTATGTTATTTTACTCTTGCGGAAATTAATAGCTTTTGATTTATAGGTCATGGAGGAGCCATTCTTAACTTGGCTTTGTCTTCTGATGGGGAGTTGCTATATTCGGCTAGTTCCGATAAGACCGTCGCCATTTGGGATCTCAACACCTGTCAGCGTATCAAGAAGATACGAGGACATCAAAACATTGTAAACAGTGTAGATATTGCGCGCAGAGGACCTCAGGTAATTGTTTCTGGCTCTGATGATGGAACTGTGCGCCTTTGGGATCGTCGCCAAAAGACTGAGGTCCAAAACTTTCAGAACACCTATCAGGTTCGTTTGGGAAATTCAGTTTATCCTTTCTGCCTTTTTTGAAGTTCTTACCTCCTTTTCTGCTTTAGGTGCTTGCAGTGGCATTTAGCGACACCGCGGAAATGATTTTCTCCGGTGGCATCGACAACATCATCAAGGGTTGGGATCTGCGCAAGCTGGACGTTGCAATGCGGCTGACGGGTCACACGGACACGGTGACGGGACTGGCGCTCTCACCAGACGGCGACTTTCTCCTCTCAAATGCAATGGATAACACCCTCCGTGTGTGGGACGTGCGGCCCTACGCCCCTGCTGAACGCTGCACTAAAGTAAGCCGTCTCAATACACTTCCTGTGCCCATTGTTCTCCTATCATTGTCTTGAATCCTCGACTCATTTATTACGAAGTCCTAATGGCCTAGGTGTGTGCAGCCTATTTTTTTAAGTATTATCGATATATTCCTCCAAATGACCTTATTAACTGGCTTGACTTGTGTGACCGATCGCATTGTACTTTACCATGCTGGTATTCTATCCTAGTTTCCATCTGCTTGTCTTAGGTGGACCTCGTCATTATGCATAGAATCTCTTTTCAGTTTTTTCTGCTGCATTTTCCATGCTTGTTACCTTTAGTAGTTTTGTTCACGTAAATCCGTGCGATGAATTGTCTTTCGGTATAGGTTGAGTTTTGCTTCAGTAATTTGGTTTAATATTGCCTGGAATTTCGCAGACAAGACACTTTGTTTGCGCAAGCATATATTACCGCAAACACGGTGCGCTTTCGTTTGGTTTGCCGTAGTCTTATCAATCCAGCCTGTTTACGACCTTACTATGCTGTATTATATTTCAAAATCGTCCACTTTTGTCAAATGTTGCGACCACTCCTCAACTCTGAAACTTGAAACAATATTGAGTGTTTAGTGCCACGCCATTCTCGCTTACTTCCCCAACCTCATCAATGCTTTAGTCAATTGAAATAGAACCTCTTTCGCTTGCACTTCATTCAACAGTCGCTTTCGCCTCTTCTGCAGTACCCTGAGTTTTCTCTGAAGCCGTATGAGGTTTAACAATACAGAAGAAAGATGTTGTTGGTGGTGTGCAGAATGACTTGAAGGCTCTAGATACGGCCTGAATGCCATTTTGCCATGCGGAGACTGAAGAGCTTGCTTAGCTAAATAAGAATTGGATTGTTGCAAGTGTAGCCTTTCAGCCAAAACTATTATTGAAAGTGATTATTCTAGCTAAACGTCTTTGGTTTTCGTTGAGCTCTGGGAACGTTACTTGATTCTCGTTATGGCATCTTACAATTGAGCAGTTAATCCTTTCCAAGGGACTGAATTTCTTCATATTAATCTGTGCGTCTCTTACGACCGCTGTCTTACCCATTCTAGTTCTTTTTGTGCGTTTAATGGTCCAAAATTTGCACCATTTATGCTTATTTATTTCATGTATTTTATGCTTTTCCGGATAGCACAATTGTAACTATTTTACCGGATTCATCATCATGACTTTGTGCGTACCAATTTTTTATATTGAAACCCTGTTCCGGTTAACAAACATTCACCCTTTTCTAGCATTCTCTTGATAGCCAAAGGAAGACTTGCCATTGTTGTAGCATCTTCAACGAAAGCTAGTTAAAGAATTAGCTAGAATGGTTTCTTGACAGTCTGATTCTTCCTCCCAAACTGTACATTTCCGTTACGCTTGTAAATGCGGATGTGCAGACCCTTGAGCAGGAAATGTTGCATTTGTAACTTTCTTGTATGCAACCTGTTCTGGCCTTGGCTATTCATGAGTCGGATTAGGAATAACTAGCTATCAATCTCTGGAACTATTTCAAATATTAATGTGTATTTTACCTATTTTTGCTGTTCAGATACTCCAAGGACACGTACACACATTTGAAAAGAATCTGTTGCGTTGCGCCTGGTCACCAGATGGCCAGTACGTAACGTGCGGCAGTGGCGATCGCTACGTTCACGTGTGGGAGGTAAAGACGCGAAACCTCATCTACAAGCTGCCTGGGCACTCGGCCTCAGTGAATGAGACTGATTTCCACCCTCTTGAGCCCATCCTCCTCTCCGGTGGGGGTGATAAAAAGATTTTTCTTGGCGAAATTGAATTGTGAATAAGACAATAAAACTGTTCTGTATCACTTTAAATATAACTATTATGTGCGGGTGGTGGGTATGCGCTGACGTCAGGGTGGTGTGCGCTAATTCTCCCGAAATGGAGTTCATTCAGGTTCTTTGGCCAAGGTTGCGGAAAAGTCGACTGCAAACTCTTCCATTGTAATTAAGGGAATTGTTGGCCTTTCGGCTCTTGGGGTGGGTGTTGGCTAGTATTGACAATATCCCAAGCGAAAGATGCAATCTCACAATAGTTTGTCAACCTGGAACCGGGAAAAGGCATCCCCATTCAAGAAATCTAGATTTCGTCCTTCATTACAGCAATCCCCCTCTATCTTATTTAGCGTTTTGTTTGAGTCCATAACGGCTTTAGACCTAAATATTTGCAATTGCCTGGGAGCGTGGCTCTCCAATTATGATTATAGTCCCCTCTTACTCAGGCGAAAAAAAAGTAAGTCTTCTTTCCTGCAAGTGTGGGCTTTTGAGTCCTCGGAAAAGGCTTGGCGGACACGGTCGAACTGGTTCGAAGAGTATTAGAGGTAAATAGTAAAAATAAAAGAGCTAGGGTTCTTTGACAGTACACGAGGAATAATTTAGTCATGGCGCACATCTTGGATTCTAAGATAGTGCGTAAATAAAGACGTGTTAGCAGTATGTGTAATCTACTAAACGTGAAGGATATTGTTGGGGTTTTTAAATACTGTTGCCACATTTTCATGCGTCTTTGTGATTTTCTTGTCCTTACTATAATGCAGATCTTTCTGCTCAGCCGTATTGTTTTAAATACTTATGACGCTTACGCTTTTATAAAATGCCTAGAAGGCTAAAGACAAGGTTGCGAGTAGTATCTTAAATTAGTCTTCGCATAAAAAGTGTTAACGATCATCCTAAAGTTGCTATTGAGGAACTCTAGTGTAATTGTATAGAAATATCATCCTTTAAAGCTTCTTTAATTCGAGGGACAACTCTGTGTTCTATGAGGCCTCACTGGACTAGGCTGCTAAAATTTTCTTAGCTTAAAATAAAAGCATACAATGACTACCTGTTTTTGCGAGTTGCTATTTTACGCTCATGTTTGAAATTTGTATTTAAAGAGGGTATAAACGCGATCAATCAAGATCTCGTAGTTTGACGAGGCGACAATTGCGAACTTCAACGTCGAAAAAGGGCTCTGCCACAAGATCTAGGCTATCGTCTAGGTCAAAAACAGCTCGAAAGCTTGTGGGTTTGGTCTTACCTTATATTGTTCTAGATCGACCTCAACAAGCGTGCCAATAAGTACCAAGCAAATATTGATCAATACATAGAACTTCTACAGCATGCAAGCCTGTGGTTTGATAGAAACCTAGAGGAAATATGGAATATGATTTGTATTGTCAATTCTGATGAGGCAGAAACAATAACATACGATAGTTTCAAAGCCAGTATGTATTTAATTACAAACTTCTTTGTGGATATAGTTCTTATGGATGTAAAAGCACCACTTAATGATGTCGAAATACATTTACTAACGATGATCTTGGATCCCAACACCGAAGGTTCGATCCAAATAAAGAAATTTGCAGATGGCATACTGGGGCTATGGTAATTTCAATCATGGTTTCCTTGCTACTGTGGAGGTGATTTATGTTTTTATTTTTTGCTTTATTTTAAGGTTAGAAGGAGACTTGCTTTCCCTTAGATAAATGCTTTGAGTGGGATAATGCAGAGTTTATAATTGCCATGTAATGTTAAAATGTTAAAAAATAATGGCAATTAACTCATTTACAGGTTTGACCTGAATTTTTATACAAAAAAAATTTTCAATGAAATCTTACGTTACCCTAGCAAAGAAGAAGAAATGAAGGCGCTAAAAGCATGTCCGTCTCCTCTCATAAAGCCGATAACTCGGTATGTATCTGATTCAAAAATTTTGCCTACTTTATTTTAATAGGTAACACAACATCACCCAATTTTAGCTGGGTTCGAGTGCACTTTCGGAATGCGACTCTCGCCTCAATATCCCACCATCCCCTCCACTTTGACGAAGACGTACCAACGTCTTACACAATAGACCTGCTTGTTGATGTCATTCGGTAAGCCGATTTACAATCGATGACACATAGTCCCTTAATTATAACAAAAATAACTTTCAATTGAAGCCGGGAAAACATTAAATTCTCCATTCATAATCGTAATGGTTTAAAATCATGAGATTTATATCAATACTATGCTAGAATTGTCACATCAGATATTCTTGGTCATTGATAATTACTGTTCAGTCACGGGATGATCAAGCCGGTAAGTCATGTAAGTTACAATTGAAAAGCCAAACAGGTTTATCATTCGCCTCCCTTTTGTTCTTTTGGCTTTTAAAACCTTTCAGGGTGTAAGTAGCTACCATTTGTTTTAATATTTGATCAAAATTCTTAATCCTTACAGGCGAAGAAACCATATATATGCTCCATCAATTAAACTCTTCAGAAAACAAGAACCTCTTCCACCGGAGGAAATACAACAAGTTGGTACTTCGCTGGAACAGCTTGGAATTAAGGGAGGAACCCGACTATCACCGATGGAAGCGACGATTCTCTACCAAACGCAATATAGTATCAACCTCCCCAGGGCTAATCTATTTGTTACCTCAATTGACGACTCCTACCTGCTTTGGGATGAGGCTGCACTTTGGCTAGAAGACGTAGACCTCAAGGGACCAGGTGTGCCGTCAGAAAAGTCTAGATCGACTGTTGAAAGCGTGCCACCAACGGAATCGACTATTAGTAGCGAATCAGACAGTAGTTCTGTGGGTTCTTTGGCATCGTTTCTCACTGTGGAAAAGGCAAGTAAATCATTCAAATTATAGATCATATGTGCGAGTAAGCAAACTTCAGTAATTAACATAAATCAGATGTTTACTCTTTCTTTTTAAACACATGCCTCTTGTGATTGAAGTCCAGTTTGTAGGTGAAGTTAGGCTAAAATAATCGCTTAGTAGATAGGACCACATAGTAAAGCTTTTTTATGAATTCGACTTCTCCGAGCGGTATATCCTACTTTTACACCTTCACCAATCCTACCAGTACATCGACTACGTGTTCAAACTGAAGTGCGATTAGAGGAGGGGAGTTCTACAAGGAAAATGGATTATTCAAGCACACGTTTGAAAAATAACTCATTACATCAATGTTTCTTGTATCCACCGGGCTTAAAGTTAGATGAATGGCCTAAAAAATCTTTTTCTAAAGTCTTCGCCAGATATTAGAAGAGGTAAACCTAGATTTGCCTTTTGGGTAAAGGATTAGGAGGTCTCAGGGGCTAGTAAATCCTGAAAGGTAACGAGATATTTCAGTGGTTACATTGGCTTTATTGAGCCATGGGAGCATTATGATGCCACGGGAATGATGCTTAACTTTGAGGTAACGATTTGGTGAAAATTTTCCCCTCATTAACACGTATGGCTGGTGAATGTTACGTCACTGCCGAATAAGTCTTCATTTTTATTCATTGGATGGTCTGTTCCATCTGCCGCTCTGACTACCAGTCGTCATCAAGACAGGTGGTGCAGATGGACTGCATAATTTAAGTGACGTAATTAGGGTCTCAGTAGGATCTCCGCCTGTAACTTTAATGAACTTTAAAGAGGCATTCATCGCTCCGTGGTAAAGAGACTCAATACTGCTAATGAGCGGATTAGTCGTTAAATCTGCAAGCAAAATCGCTCATCGGGACTACTGAAAATTATCCTTCACCTTTTGATACGAAGATGATAATCCAAGCCTTGAATGTCTTAGCATTTTCTCCTCATTAACACTTAATAAAATGCCTCAAGGCAGAAGGATAAGTAGGATAAGTAGGCACCTGCTGGATTATTTTTTTAGAGTAAATGACAATATTTGCCAACAATTTAATCATTTTCATTGACCGGCAGTCGCTAAGCGCTTCCCAGTCCCCTTTATTGGTTTGCAAGATCTCAATTTAAATGTATCTGTCAATATTTTAGAAAACCAAAAGAAGAGCTAAACGAATTCGAAATCTGGCTAGACGTTGTGAGCAACGAATGCGTGATCTGGGGGGTGCCCACAGTCCACTACATTCAACCACCTCCTCTTCCGTCTTAGGACGCCCCAGTCTATGATGGTGTTCCGCTAGGGCCAATAAAAGCTGGTGACTCAAAAGGTCCTTGCTAAAATTGGGTAAAGGGTATTACAGACGTCGTGGCGAAACTGAGGATTGTGAAATGCAAAAGAGTGGCACGGTTCCGACAGTCAACTTAATGATATCTTAATTTAAATGAGTAGTAAATGATCTCGGAGGGTAGGTTGCTAGACAACAATAATCTAGGAGGAATCATTAACGATAGGTTCTTGTCTAAAGAAAATCCCATCCGAAATTTTATGCATGCCCCAAAAGTCCTCCTCACTTATAATTTTAATGTTAATCATGCCATATGGCAGTCCGAGCTATTTATTGTAAAATTTGCCCCTCCCTGAACTCATTCGAATGAGTGTGAGTTAATCGACTTCCTAACTCAGTTTAGGGGCCACTGCCCTTAATGGTCAATAAACACGAGCTCTCCCTTCCCCTCGTGCCCATGTGTCGGGAGGAAAGGGGACTCCAACCACGACGACCCCGGCACTGCAAGTGGGAGAGCGTGTGCCTATTTTCTGAGGAAGTGTGAAATCCCTTGTGATTGAGACAGAAACTGGGGGAATGGAGTGTGCCCTACCATGAGCTAAATAACGTTTGGTTACTGAAAAAATTAATGAATGATTTTACACCTACGTTCAGAAATAATTCTCTCCTGACACCCATAAAGGCCTTGAATTAACGATCATTCTGTGGTGGAAAGACATTTAACAGCGATTCCAAACAGGTTTCATATCAACAACATTAGAACATACAAGGACATTAAAAATGTTCACTGTGAGCCTTGACTAAGGATGTATTAAGAGAATCCACTTTTTCTACTTCAACGAAGATAAGCGACAAAAGCAGCATAAGTGAAGCGATTACAATGTCAAGAAGAATTTGGCAACTAACATTCTACACCACATTCGATACTGATTATGTGAAAACAGCGGTGACTGTCAAGTGAGACCTTCTACAGATTATAGATTTGTTTCTCTTGTGACAATTGAGCTTGTGAATGAAAACTTTTGGTAAGATAAAAAGCAGTTTATCATTCGTTGAAAGGAAACGTGTTCAATTATGATCACGGCTTTGCCATCACATTGCGGTTAAAAGGCTCTTTAACAATTTAACACGATTGGAGAACTGAACCCCATCGTCTAATGCGCCAGCATCAGTGATTTAGCTGGCTGAAAGAAGCTCTTATTGCACTTAAAATGGTTATTCATGACTGTGGTCGGACTGGTAAAATTGTATTTGCTACTAGTAAATATAGTATTATAAGCCAATGTAAAATATTCACAGAATGATGCACTGCAACCATTTAGATAAAATATTAGCTAAATAAGGAAAAGTCATGGTGATAGGTAGAGTTCAAGGCGCCAGTCAATTGAGGAAGCCAAAATATCTAACAAGGACTCTTTCATTTATTCTAGTCTAGCGTTCAGAATGAGTAATTTTATCAATCGTGCTTTTGTCTAACTTCTTTGAAATAATCAAGGGTTATTGAAGCTCATTTTGCCAAAATTTCGCTTTTGCTTCAAAAATAGGTCCTGTCCTTAAATCAGACCGGCAAGCATGATCAGTTGGAACAGGAACAGAGATAAATGCAGCCTTTGGTTTCTTATTTTGGTATCACTAGAAGAAGGCCAAAGAGGGGAGAAAGTACAGCTGGGCGAAGACTAAAATGCCTCACTCAGAACCAGTTGCCTGTAGTGACAGGTGAATAGGGACTTATCGTGGGTTCGATCGCGAACAGCAAGCGGGAATGCAAGGATTGTAGTGGGAGTGGGGGGAGGTGAAGTGTCGGGTAGGAGTAGGAAATGGGGAACGATATTGTGCGGCTGTCTGCCTGCCTGCTTGCCCCTCTCTGTTCCTGCGCCGCCCTGTAGTACAGGGTTGTTCAACAAAAGCACGCTAATATATGCAACGCTTATCTTGCCTTCCACATCTGTTTCAAATGTAAATAGATAATTTTGAACATGGAAGCCTATCTTGCTTTGTAAGTGAAAACTATGCATCTGTATACTCACACACAAAAAGTGAAATAGTGCAGTCACTCGTGAGTGTGGCTATTTGAATTATCCACCCATTTACTATTGCCTTAACCAGAAAATGCGCACAGAATGAAGTTGCTAGAGTAGATTGTATTGGCATAGCATACATGTATCAAAGACCTTTTTTGGTGATTTTATAGCCTGTCTGGGTTCCTTGTTTTTCCTGCCAGTTTGAGCACTTTTGGGACTGTCAACTCAAATTTTTCTGGGTTGAAATTGCCCCTGATGCTGATAATAGGCAGTAGCTGAGAAGCACAAATAGAAATGATAGCTTTTGATCAATTTCAATTTATGTCATTATAAATGGCATTCGCAAATAATCTTAAGCTCGGCGGAATGCTAAGTGTATGTATATTGTTCGGCCAATGATACAGTTGTCTTGTAGACGGCGCTGTTTGAATGAAACAATAATGACAGCTTTGGACGGCGTTTTTTTTTCCATTGAGAAAGTGTAGAATAGATTCTCAGCATTCCTCTAAATCCAAATACTCAGGAAATGTAAAAAAAGATGTACTTCTCAATGCATGGTTGTGTTCACAGTTTACCTTGTGACTAGAACAGTGCACCCATAAGACGTGATTTCTTCTGTTTCATTCAGGTTTAAATTTAAATCAGCTAATGCTAACTAGTAGGCGCTATTTAGGGAAATGTCTGCAACTTTATGCAAAAGCAAACTGGGAAGGAATTCAATATCACTTTTGGCATATTTAAGGTAGCTGTCAAAATCGTTATATTTAAGGTCCCTCTGCTAAAATTGCTTAAAGAGATGGACACATGGTCATTTGCATTTCTGATTGAATTCCCTTGCAGGAGGAGGCATAGCCGGGGAGGATACAAATAGGCGTGACTCAATTTAATAACACTGCGGCTGAATGGGGGCGTGTTGCACACGTGTGATTGTTATTGTACCGTAGTGTTGATTTTCCCTCATTATTATCAACATTTGTCGAAAATCTTACACCTCCCCTTTAGAAAAACATTAAAAACACATTTGTTTGCACTTGAATGGAGATCTTCAATAGTAAGACTCCCCACCAAGTGTCGTTTGTTTTCTTAAGCGGCTCTTAGCTTTTTTCATCAATCATTCCGGAGAACATTGGACATCGACTCTAGAAATAGATCACGATATAGAGTGAATGAAACCACTTACACTACGTCCTAGGCTGGAGAGCCGCTGAAATACCGATTTTCTTCCGATCACCACACCAAATGCAAGACTTTGGAAATATAGTGGTGGGGTTGAAGGACTCAATGTAATATTTGTAAGGGCTGTGGATGACCAACCACGAAAGCGAATACATCTAGGGAAAATTTTGCAGATTTGCTTTAACAAGTAAACTTAGCACAGTAATCCTATCTCAAATGTCAATGCCTTGGATTGACATGCAGACAATAGATCTCGAATTTTAGTCACAGGATCATGTCTACGGCCCCCAAATGTAATCGAGACTTGTTGGCAAATTGTGCTAAAAATGCATTTTTCTTATTATTTTTGCCAATTACATATTGTTTACTCTAAATTTTCTGATAATGTAAAATTAGCACAACCTAAATAAATAGTTTGAAGAGCCATATATACGTCAATTTCGTGTTACTTCTTTAAGATGTATTCACCATAGAAGGTTGGTATTTACTACTTTAACTTGCAGCATGTCCAATTTGAAGCTTATAACATAAAAATTAGAGTTTTTAAAGGACTAAAAATTATATTTTTTAATAATTTTGTCTTAGAAAGAAGATTAGATTACATTTACAGATGAACATGTAGTAATAAAAGCATAATTACTGTAGGTCCGGGGTTATATGATTTCTCCTCTAATGGCAACTTATATCATGTTCGATTTCCATTTATAATTGACCATATCAAGTGATAATATATAAAACAATAGCACAGTTGTGATAAGATGACTCTTGGAAATTTGTCTACAGTCTATTTGCTTATAGGCGAGATACAAACATCAGAAACCGTTAAATAAATGGTAAATATTGGGCAGCTAGGAAGAAATAAGGGCACAATTAAGTAGTAAAAATCAATTACGGCTGATTTAACCCTGAAAAATGCACTATTAGCATTGGCTACGGATGCTAAAATGTTGTTGCGCTTACAGTGGTTGATCTCGCGATCGGATTGGTCGTCAGTGTTGAGGCTTTTGGTTTGCGCACCTACGCGAAGCTAAACTGACCAATAGGCGACCCGTGTCGCGCGTCTCTGCAACCATAGCTTACAATACATTTGTATATAAAATATATCTATGCAATTTGAATGTTTTACCAATGATGAACGGCCCTGTACCATTTTTCAACTCCTTCAGTGACATAGTGGTTCCTCCCACTAATTATGGCTTTGCAACGTTGCTAAGCTCGCAACATCTCCCAAATGGAAATTCCCCACTTCAGCAAATGATCCTTCCGGATGTGTCAATGTACGCATCGATGCTTCCGTATGCTTGTTCTCAGGAACTACTAAGTCATATCAACCAACCTTCGAGAAGTCAAACGGAGTATCGCTCAGAGATGCCTTCCTCCTTGACATCTGCGATAAATTTGCCTCAAGAAAGTAAGTGATTGGTTATATGCAGGACAGTGCTAAACTTGTAATCTGACTATCTTAATGCTTGGCTTGCTCAAGTCACTAAGTGTGAATAACCAGAGTAAAGATTTTTTCTACTTTAGTTGTAAGCCAAGTGGAGATCTTTCATCCACAGACTGAAGTCGTTTTAGCTTAGTTTAGGTTTTCGTTATTTTAAAATACCTAAGGAATCAATTTAGAGTTAGCTTTTTGAAAAGAGTTTTAGAAGCACCAAGACTTATAAATTGAACTGTAATCAAACACCAATCGATAATTAATCGTATCGATAAAGTTTGATTTTCGTAATTTTAATGGTCGAGCGATTCGGCATGTTTGAAACTTGTACATTTGGAAGTTCTCACTTCTCTCTTAACTGACCTTGCCCTTTTCCATCAAAAAAATCATTCAAGATCTAATGTGCTGTAACATTAAATTATGTCCTTCAACACGTGTCGTGTCGTGGAGATGAAACTGCGACTCCACAAAACCATAATGGCACGCGTCTCAGTGGCTTGCGATCATGTGTATGCACACAACATTCCCCTTCCCCCAATCCCCTAAGCTAAGCGTTGAAGAAAGTAGAAACTCATCCGACTTTCGCACCAGGTGCCCTTCGGCGGCAGCGGAGGCGACGACTGCACAGATTCGACTTGACAGAGGGGGATTGGGGGAGCCCTACAGACCACCTGCCTCTTTCATCAACGTTCCTTTTTAACCCGTCTCTATGGTCGACGTATGGACCCAGGCATTGGGCTTAATCTGCAGAACTCATTTAAGCTAAAATTCAATCACGATTACAGTCGACTTGGCCCAATTTCAACCAATGAAATAAGTGAAGCATTTCTAGCTAGTTTGAGAGACTTGACAACAGTTAAGCGAAAGCAGTAATTAAAGCACCATTTAACAGGCCTAGAAAAGCAGGCAACGTCCGCCCTGTGCCAATGGAGAGGTAATAAAAAGAGTAGAAGGAGGAACAAACAGGTAATGATGACCCTAGCAACAGCAACATCGGTAGGTCATGTGGATGGGTCGCGGAAGGAGGGGTGAGAAATGATCATAAAAATGGAAGATGGGGGAAGGGAGACGCGTGTCGTTTGACAAGTTCACGCGACGATCTGACATGTTTACGAAACAGGCTTAATCTCGGCTTTTGAAGGCACCAGAAGGTCCTGCTAAGACTTTAGATTCTATAGATGTTACCGGCCCTTATGAATTTTTGAATTTTTTCAGTTTTTTAATTTATTTAGACAAGTTTAATAATTAGGAGCAATCTTGCCAATATGATTTGATTTAAATGGGATTAGGGCACGAATTTGAAGGAAATAAATGAAAGCTACTCTGGTTTCCAAGTCAGGACTCGCTCTGGCCCGAATGGAAGGACACTTACAAATCTTCCCACCGTGACAATCGTTGCCCTGTTACCTGTTGGGATCCTGATGCATCCGTGTGTAGGCATGCATTCGAGGCGGGTTTTAGGGCCACCCAAGATGGGAAAGGTGTGCTACCCCGTAAATATTTACACCGTAAACGTGGGACAATATGCACACCCTCCCTTGCCCTATTGCTAACGCACTACGAAGTGTTGCGGGTTATTTCTGTAGTGCTTGCACCTAAAGTTTAGTTACTTTATTACTTGAATGGCCCTCCATCTGGAGCCCATGGTAAGCCAATAACTCTTTTGCACGCACAATTTTCGCGCCTACGTGGGTTCTATCGCTTTCTCACTGCCATCCATCTGTTCCGGTTCGAGTGGAAGGAGTAGGAGGGGTGAATACGTGAACTGGGCCCCGGGAGTTTGGCCAGGGGTGCGCGTTATTTTGAGTAGCATATGGCGGGGAATGGGCAGTGTTCCGATTTTATTGAACTTGAGCAGCTTCATGATCGAAATGACCATCTGTTGAAATCGTTCACTTGTTAAACTTTCTCCAAATAAATGTAGTTATTTTTTTTATTGCAGATGGCATTGACTTATCTGTAAACAAATCGGTCAAATCGGAGAGCTCAGGCTTAGCACATCAGGAAGAGTCTTTTTGGAGCATTTTAGGGCGTCTACCCAACATTCAACGCACATCTTCTACAGAAAAAAATTATACGGAGTCTCTAAACAGAAGAAATGCACCAATTCACAGCACACCCCTGGCGGCGACCACAATGACAAAATTGGGCCAGAAACGTCGGAAATCCGGATTCCAAGCTGGGATTACAGTTGGCTACACCTATGATGCCTTTTTTGTTTCTGATGGTCGCTCAAGGAAGCGCAAATGTGCGGAGTTGAGCGAGGGCATCAATGTGCCCTCCTCCTCCTCCTCTTCTGAGTCCTCTGAGTGTGCCTCCAGAGTTTCAACTCCACTGCAGACATCTCTGCCACCTCGCTTCACCTGCAGCGAATGTGGTAAGCACTACGCTACCTCCTCCAACCTAAGTCGTCACAAACAGACCCACAGGAGTTTGGACAGTCAGTTAGCAAAGAAGTGCCCCCATTGCGGCAAGCTATACGTTTCCATGCCGGCGCTTTCAATGCACATATTGACGCACAACCTGAAGCACCAGTGTGACATCTGCGGGAAGGCATTCAGTCGTCCCTGGCTCTTACAGGGGCATCGACGCGCCCACACGGGCGAAAAGCCGTACGGCTGTGCACATTGTGGCCGAGCCTTCGCAGATCGCTCTAACCTTCGTGCACATATGCAGACCCACTCATCCCTTCGACTTCATGAATGCACGCACTGTAAGAAACAGTTTGCTTTGAGAGCCTATCTGAACAAGCATTTGGAAACGTGTGGACGGAATGCCACCTCAGTCCCCTCCTCCACCATAACTAACACGTCTGATCAGAGTAATCCTGCTGAGCAGAAACCTATTTTGCCGTTGAGTATAGCAGCATTGGTTGGAGACTGTTAGCACTGAACCCTATATATACGCTTTATCTAACCGTAATCTTTCAAATTTAAGGTACCAACTATTTATTAATATAGACCATGTGCAATTTGCATCTGGCCTATTGTTCAGCTTTTGGCGGACATCTTCAATAGCAAATTATGTATCTAAGTGGCTGATTAAGCATGTCTTTGTCCTTGAAAATAGGTAGCTTTGGGCATATGACTACAGGGAGTAGAGTGAAGACTGAAAAATCCTAGTTATTTGATTTTTATGTTACTTTAACAGTGCCTCTAGCAAAAAAGTGATGCAAGGCTTAACGTACATTAATGTTCTATGTTTTCCCCACCATACGGGTTTAACTTCCCCTGCTCTTATCCCATTCTCCTTACTCCTCTCTCGTCCCCCTGTCAACAGCGTTCGTTGTCGCCACAGTCCACTGGCCGAGAGATTCTAATTAGCGTGGAGTGGTAGTAGTTTACATCACATATTATCGCTACTGCAATCATGTTCTTCCGTTGGTACGACTGCTACTGCAGCTGCCACTGCCACCGCTGGGAATCCCATTAATGAGGTAGGGGGAAAGGGGAGGGAATGGAAAGGAAGGGAAGGTGGGAGTGCTAGCAAAACCGCATCGTCGCCCAATTTTTCGAAGCGCCCACCCGCTCACTTATACGACGCATACAGATGCACGCGCACACAGGTCTGCAGTTGGGAGTGAGCTAGCGACACAGCCCAACCACGGCCGAATCAATGAGCTCGCTGTATGGTATGATAACGGGCTGTAACTTGCATTCTCGCTCGCTTTAGCTCAAACACTGCACAACGCCAGCCCAACTGCACACACACAACCTCCCTGACAGGGAGATAAGATCACCCGAGTGGAGTGGGGCGGAGGTGGGTGAGTGGATGATGGAGGGTGTTTGATTAGACACAACGGCACGTGTGCTCATCTCTTGCCCCATGTAGGCATTGGCATAAGTTCATTTCTGGAACCTTGGTTTAGCATCTGGGGGTCAAATATCACCGATAAGGAATAGACCGCTCATCATTCACGATTACTGTGTTAGGGACAATTTTGACTCCACTCATTGTCATGCTTCCAAGTCATAATTTCAGCAGTGATGCGCTAAATGGCAAACTGAATGGGGAAGTGAAGAGTTTTCTGTTAGCTGAATGTGACTAAAAGGGAGAAATAAATCCCAAAACATCCCAAAAAGGTGGGAAATCCAACTTCATAAAAGTACAAATGTACTTTTGATACCGCGTGTATTTTCAAGCCTCATTAGGTACTTAGATTTGTACTGGTAGTGAATACAAACAGAAAATAGCATTTAACATTTAAAAATCACCTTTTGCGGCTCTATAGCTAATTATCGCTTTTATGAATGGGGCAATGAATATTTATGGGATCGTTGCAACCAAACAAATTTTGGTAGATTCTCATGCAAACTGCTCGGCGATTATGAAGGATTTAAATCTTTTAGGTCAAAACAACCGAATTTACAAATAGCCTCTAGTTGATAAATGTCGTCTATAATGGAACCAAGAAATTTGTAAATCGCTCCAGGAGCTCAAAAACAACTTCTGACTTCTCTGGGATGAGTAATATAGACGGCAAAGTGATTTAGTTAACCTGTTCATAGTAGGTTCGTAAGTCATGCAATAAGATTCTTCTATGCAGTAAATCCAGTTGTATATAAATTAGCATAATAATATGATGGGACCAAATAATGTACTTGCTGCATAAATTATGGACCCGCATGCTTACAGTCAAGGAAAGGAGATCATTAACTGAAATCGTAAAACGCAGGTTTGTACAGTAGTTTTATTGTAAGATCATAACCGTGTTTTCAAATACCATTATCAAGTAGTATTGTGGTCCATTTCTTGACGGAATAAATACACAAGAGAACTGAAAGAGGGAGAATGAGAGAGGAGAAGATGCAGTAAAAATTGAAATCATGTAGCATCAAATATTGTCGCACCCGCGTGGGTAATTGACGCAGGCAGTGCCAGCCAGAAATCCTTCCACCCTGTCCCATCCCATCTCACCTCCCTATCATGCCATTCCACTTGAGTGTAGCTGTTAACCGCAGCCCCAACGAACGCATCTTCTTCAGTCTAGTAATTGCTCACCCTCTCGCCACAGAAAAATGGGGTGGGGTGAACTGGAGTGGGGAGCAAGGCATTTGATGCGCTGATAAGTGGTGGTACTCTACAACCACTGCGGCTGCTGCTGAGTGCTGCTGCTTCATTTTACTATTCGCAGGCGGCGGGAGAGAGAGCTAGCAGGGGTGGAGGGATAGGGGTGAGGGACAAACGAAATGGGAAGACAAGTGCATTAAAATTTCTGCTTGATGCACATTCCAGCTGCGTGGATGCATGTGGGTAGAGAAGGACTTGCACACATAAAAGCTCGTGCAGCGTGCGGAAGTGGCTAATGGATACTCGAGGGGAGGGAGGGTAGGAGGCGAAGGATTATTGGGAGAGTGGAGGAGGGAGGGAAGGGGGAGAAGGTTTTGTGGGTTTTCGGGATAAATATATAGACATGTGAACACGCACGTGCAGACAAATAGGTAGGCAGGCAGGCAGAATTGTAGGCAAAATTAGATGTTTCATCTCAGGTTGAGGCTCAGTGGCTTACCACGTTTGTAGCAAACTTCTACCGCAGGGGCGATTTACGGGGTACGCATTCTGACGGTGGAAAGTAAATCCTCCAAATTTAATGAAATCCGCCTTTAAGTTGACTTTGAAACGATTAGCATCGATACTTTTACCTGTTTGTTTTTAAAGGAGTAACTTGCATAAAAGGTGATTGAATAATATCATAGAAAATGAAAAGATCAAACTGGAATTAATACTTGTACAGACTCATCTTATTTACTCATGATATTTCTCTTTGATTTATAATATTTCATACGCGACTAATGGTGTTTATGTATTCAGATTTGATTTTGAGCCGTAGTAGTCGTCTGATTTTCACCTAATAATGGGAATAGAGCATACGGACATTCGGTTGTAAATAATCGTCATTTCCCCCACTTGCAGCAGTTAAGTGCCGCCTTTTACAAGACGCTGTTGTTGGTGGTCTCGGTCATCAAAGAACTGGCTAATCGGAGGTCAAAGTGACAAATTTTGGCTAAGCAGCACATTCTTAAGCATTATGGTTAAAAATGTCTATCAGCCAAGCACTTCTGGAAGTTTTAAATGGCAATGCTGACGGTCAGTTGAGTAACTTACCTGATTATTGCAGCAAATGTCTCCTCACATTTTGTGAATTCTTAGCCAAGCGATGCATATCTTTAGACTTAAAAGAGGAGGTTGCCTAATTTATACAGTGGCTTTCTCAAGATGAGACAATTTTTAGGTTTTCTTTTTGAGATGCTATAAGAGTGAAAACAGTTCAGGTGAAGATTTTGTCAGTGTTTTATACCAAAGACTTCACAGTCAGTGATTACGCAAACACCAACTCTCACATACTTTAAACACCAACACTTGCAGAATGTATTTCGCAGTCTCTAAACAAAGCAAATAATTTACGAGCTACTTGTATGCCTTAGTTGAGTGAGTGGGCTCCTTAAAAACCTCAATAAGCTCGGCTGGTCAGGAAAGGTACAACAAACACTTGCCCCAGTTAACTATGCGAAGAGCCAGTAATCGAGATTTTATTGATAAGTCATCTGTTAACAGATATGCAAGTCTCGGGAGGCATTTCAGGAAGTTGGTGGACTTCCCACAAGCGCTACGACCACCTCTTTGAGATGAAGCCATCGATAAGGGATGGACCGAGCTTCCTCTGATGTGACTCATGCCTGATTAAGGCTACCAGGAACAGTGGTGTGAAGTTAGTTACCTTCTCGGAAGTCTGCATCAACTCCTAAATTGAATAAGTCGACTTGTCTCCTACAGATGCACACGAGAAGGATCGAAATATCGCAGCAAAATGAAAGCATAAGCGTAAAAAAAGACTATTTTCCAATTTATGAAAAAGCGTAGGAGATCAGCCTCGATACATTCAGTAGTGACAACCAGATGAGCTGAAAAATCTCAGAAACTGATTAATTTAAAATAGTACAGTGAACTCAATCGAGCTGAGACGGTTTGTAGACAAGTTGTCAACTCCCCTACTGACTTCTACCTAGAGGCCTCAATTTTATCAACTCTGCAATGTTTCATAGAAGCAGTAGTAACCTAATGGTTGTAAAGACGATTAGGCTACACTTTGAGGCGTTTTAATCCAATAGTCGTAGTGAAAAATAACTCGATTCACTATAGACCGACCGGACACCTAGGTGTCCCGTCTCACAGCATTAGTAGTGCTTGGAGGTACTGGTTGCAATGTCATAAAGTGGAAAATTTACAAAGTACCTTAAATTATTAATAGAACTATAATCTAGCAAAAAAAGCATTAAATACCGAAATCTAGGTAAGAAAGAACTAATCAGTTATCTTGATTAACTAAATACCTTTTGAAATAAGCAGCATTACTGCGTAATGTCATAGCCGTTTTTAATAATTTGCCAAATACTACGGTAAGAAAAATACTTCGCTTTGAAATGAGGCTCTTCAAGAAAGTCCAAACGGTTACGTTTTACAGAGGATGACCAGGTGTCGATACACCTGCGCGACCTAACCGACTGGCATCCTCAGAAGGAGTCAGAGGCACCTCTGCGCCTCACGAGATTCTCTGCAATACTGGAATAGATGAAACTGCACTTTAAAGAGAAGTGTGCTTAAAAGTAAATCTAGCATTTGAACCTAGAGCATAATAGACACGTTCCAATTAAAATGGAGGCCTCATTTGCTACCGCCAAATCAGAAGTCAAACTCTGATGTAGTATTATGCCAAATTTTACCAAAGAACTTCCTTTGTATCAACATTGACTTGGGATATTTTGATAGCCTTATGGGCATAAATATGACAGCGTTACGGAAGCTCACTCATCGTCAATTCCACCTTTTGAAAAATTATGCTTAAACTTTAGAGACATATCGAAACTGGAATTCCATTTGGTACAACTGCGCACTTTTTCAGGCGATGGCTTTACCTCATTTCCTTACTATGGTAAATTGTAATACGATAGTGGTTTATCCCTCGGTTCTGATGAGG